CACAAATGTGAAACTGCACATGAATAACTTTGTAAAAGCCCTTGTGAATATTCAGATATGTGCATATTGATGCATTTATTATTTGTACAGCAATAACTTTATTGGATTGGGGTCCCAGCTGTGTTGGGAGCTGTACAAACATAACAGTAATGTCTGTGAAATACATTCTCTGCAGTCAGTTCTGGTTCCACTGTGAATTAGCATAAACAGCTACATAAGGTAATTGTGGACTGGGCTTAGTGGCCTATTCCAAGGACCCATCAAGGTAATACTTTTACTTTGACAGAAAATGATACTCCAGACTAATTGAGTATCTTCTCTTTCAAATGGCAACGACTCAGGGTCTTAATATGCAAAGAGTGGCAAAAGGAAGCACATACAGGAAGTCAGCAGAGTTTGCCCTCTGTCACACTGGAACTTACTTTAAAAAAACCACTTTGGCCAAGTAAGTCTTGAGAACAGTCTTACATTAAAGATTAACTTTTTTAACTCGCCTGTGAATATCAATCAAGGTAATAAACATCCTAAAAGCAAAACAGCTTTCTTCCCAAGTCTAAAGGAGAAAATAGTCTTTAATATAGTACTTAAATTACTAATGGGAGGTTTACGTTTGGTCTTAGTTTTGTGGTACCTTTTCTACACCCAGTAAAAAAGTGACCAACTCTGACTAACAGTGTATACAAAAAAAGAATAAAAACAATTATAAACTGTGTTAATTAAAGCTAAATTTAAGTTAAAACAACCAACCATGAACAAACTCCAGTGGACTATTTCATAAAAATGCCTTTCCAGCTAATGAACAACATCTATTCTAACAGCTCTGGTTTTATGCACAGTAGTAATTCTTGCTGTAGGTAAGACCAGAGAAGTGGATGGCATGCAACAGCTCTAAAGGTGTCTTTAGAAACTTCAGAGTAATTGTGTTTCGCTGTCTGCTTAAGACTCAGAGAAATATTATACAGGACATTTGCATCCCCAACATGGTGTTTAGGACAGATGAGTAATTAACTCCTGGCTATGGTTTCCAAGTTTTTTCAGACGCTCTTCCCAAGAACAAATTTACATCCTCCTCCCCTTGGGCTTGGAACACCAAACACTAGCATAAACAATTTCATTTCTGCCACACATTTAATCTTAACCCAATTGAGTGATCTGCAAAGTTGTATTTTGGAAGGAAATTGTTGTATGACAGCACTGTACTCTAAAGGACTTCTACCACATGTACTTGGAACAGAAACATTCTTCTATAACAACATAAACCAAAACTTGCTATACACATGAAAATTTGAGACAGAGAACAGCTTATCATATATAAGAAACATACTGCATAATTAGCAAAATCCAATCACTGGGATTCTGATAGACAGCATTTAACTGTACACAATTATAGCAAAACAAGAACTTTTATTTGAGATTTCATTCTAGAAAACAAGAGACATTGGCAGGAGTTCCATAATCCAAACCAGCTTCTCTATCCAACCACTTCCCTCTCATCAGTAGGCCTCATAAATCTTACTCTCCAGAAGAGGTTGGGTTAACCTCACTAATATTTGGTTTGCTACAAAATATTTTAATCAGTACCTAAATGGAAGTCTTGGCAGAACTATTACAATAAAATCCCATGAAAAAAAACCATACATTCCTTCCTGTACACACAACCCCCAAAGGCTGCTTTCCCCTTTGGCAGCCTTTATTCTAAGATGTTCTAGATGTTCATTTGGTTTCACTTTCAATATATTCAAAGCTCCTCTCAAGTAGTACCCAACTTACAACGTCCCCCTAAGGCATCCTATAAGTATTGGCACCTCTAAATTCTCTGTAAGAATCTTGTTAATTTTCATCCTTCTCTTGTTTATGCACCTGTAACATCTACACGTCTATGGCAGGACTTTTTCACTCTAGCATAGAGTTTTTATTATACGTTGTTCCTGACACCTCTTCAGGTGCCTTGTCCTCATACAACCTTTGCCAGTGTAGTTCACAGCACCATCCTCTTACTCCTTCCACATATCCTTGAATCTTTATCCTTATCATATCAGAGGCAATTATTCTCCTAATGCAAACCATTCCCAAATACATTCGAGACCTATCGAAAAGACAGAGGTCCTCAGATGGGCAGCACAAATGTACAGGCTAAAATAAGTATGGGGTGAGGTTTGTTCTGCAACATATTTACATTAGATTGGATGGGACATCTGCATATGTTTTGACATCTATGGAAAGGGCAGAATGTAAGCCTGAAGTTGCTGTCCTTGAGCAACTTGGCAGAAAGACTAATTACAAAATGATCAGGTAGTCCTTAAAGAGTTGTTAGGAATCTTACTACTGCAAACAGGCTCTAAAGTTTTATCTTAAAATAGTTGCAAAGTTAGATCAGACCTGTTCCCTGCCCCTAAAATGAAATAACATTTAATGCTGAATAGTAAATTAACAGCAATACCAAAGCCAGCACAGTCCCTGTTCAGGTGTATGTGATTACCATTTTTGAAAGCTCTTTCTAAATTTATAATGGAATTAACCTTCCTTTCATTAACATCACTAATACCAGCATTGTGCTTTCAGTCACTTACTGTTTCTCAATACTACTGTTTTGTAAACAAAATCAGGAAAAGTACAACAACCATCAAGAGTTGCAAATATTGTACAATGTGGCAGAACAAGCCCTTCAAAGGCACGTGAAACAGCAAAACATTCAGCACTGCTGTTTGCTTTCACAAACAGTGTAATACCATCTTCAGTGTAAGCAAGTAACAGCATTGCGTCTAAATATATGAACGAGAAAACAAACATTATAAAGCTCGGGTGGTAGACGAGACTTAAAAATGTTTATTTAGGTCAGGCTTGGTGTAGAGTACTTTCAAATTTAAAAATAAAAGCGCGGTTACATAGTGCATCACCTCACTGTGAACGTTTTGACAAAACCAAACTTGTGTATTTTTTTTCTTTTTCACAAACCACAGAACTCTCCTTAAAATTCAAATACCTTGCCCAGACGGCACGAGCCTTTACCACTAGCTACCGCTGAAGCTGACCTAGGTGCCCCCTCTTTCAAGGCAGAGGGGGATCCAGGATGCCCAGGTCGGGCAGCGCCGCCCTGCCCGGGCAGCCCCCGCCGCCGGCCGCGCTCCCCCCGGGCGGCCCCGGGGCGGTGCCGAGCGCACGGGGCCGCGCCCCGGGCCGTGTGACCCCGCACGGAGCTCGGCGCCGGGGCCGCTTCCTGCTCACAGCGAACTTCACGGCGGCCTCGCTGTGCCCCCGCTCGGGGCTCAGGCGCTGGAGCTGGCGGAGCCCCGGCGGGCTGTGCCCCGAGCAGCCCCTCCGGCGGCGGGCACAGGGCTGGCCGCGGGCACGCTCCGCGGGGCTGCGGGGAGCGGGAAGCAAACGGAAGGTACCTTCAGCTCTTTCTCCCGCTCCCCTGCTCTCCTCTTCATGGTGCCGCCCCAGCCGCCCGCCCGGGGCGGAGCAGCGTCCCCGGGCACCGCAGCTCCCGGCGGGAGCCTCGCTGAGCTCCGCGGGCACTGCCCGGCCCCGCCCCGGACTCCAAGTCCCGGCAGCAGCAGCGCGGCCCGGAAGGGGAAGGGGCCGCGTGGCGACGGCGGGAGTTGCCAACGGAGCGCGGAGCGGAGCCGAGGGGCTGGAGGGGGCCGTGAGTACGGGGGGAGCTTCTCCTCCTCCGGGCACGGCGGGGGGAGCACGGCGGCGCTGGCGCTGCCCGGGGGCTGCGGGGCCGTGTCCTGGAGCCTCCCGGCCCAGCAGCTGCGGAGCGGGGCCGGCGCGGAGAGCGGCGCGTCCAGACCCGCGCGGCTCCTCGCTCGCAGCTCGGTGCCCGTAGGGGAAGACAGGGGAGCCTCGGTGCCGGATTAAAAGTAGCCCTACAAGCCCCTGTTTTGTACCTGCAAAGGCTGCCGGGCTGGAGCGGGAATTGTGCTCCTGTGCCCGAGGAAATCCCGGGCAGTGGGGGCGTTCCTGCGTGGGGGAAGCGCTGCCTTCCCTGGGACCCTGCCCCTCCCAGCCCTGTCAGTCACTGCCAGAATCAAATTTTGGAAAGCACTTGTGCGTTGAAGGCGAGACACGGTTGTTTTGATATCTCCTTGTTCCAGTAGGACTTACAGGTCTGAGAGATGTTTCTTCCCCCAGACGACAGCAGGATGTTGTGATCCTGTTTCCTAATAACTTCCATATCTTCTCTCCTTTTTTTTTTTCCTCTCCACCTCCCAAAAGTCACAGCACTGCAACAGATAATGTTTGAAAGATGATATGTGTGTATACTCCTACTAAGTAATAAATGAGATTATTTTAGATGACAAGACAAATAGAGTGCAAATATTTATCTTTTAAGGACTCAGTAGAGTGAGAATATAGGCTGGAAATACTTTGTGATATACTAAGATAGGTGAGTGGTCTCTCTATCCACCTTTTTTTTTTTTTTTTTATCTTTCCTCTACCAGAATAGTGGAGTAGGATTTTTGTAAGAAAAGCATGTCTGAGACTTGTGAAATTCAAAAACCATATTGAAACAATTAAGACATCATTTTTAATATTTCACTAGAAATCTTTTCACTAGAAGTCCCTTCTATCCCCACTGGCTGAGAACTTTTGAAAATTTAGATAATCCCTCCTTAGTCTTGCTGCTTTTGAATGATATTGGGACAACAGTATGCTTCTGTGAGACAATTTGAACCTAAAGTATGAGCTTTGATATTTAATTTTCAATATCCATCTCATTACTGTCTAGCCTTGCATAACACTGCAAAGTTGTGTGCAGTTTTTTTTGTGGTAAATTGTCAGATACAGGTAGTGTAGCACACGTTTGTAACTGACACAGTGTATAAGAAAGTTACGATTTCTTTGACTTCAGTAATTGTATCTAAGCTTCTTTGTACCTAATTTGAAGTTCTTGTAGGTTAATCCCAGAGATACAGACAATTTTCCTCTCTTTGTAGGTGAAGTTGTTTTTCTTTTGAGGAACAAGACATGTTGAAGTAACGGTAGAGTAACCTTTCTTGGAAATAAAAGCTGGTTTAAGTGTTTGAGGTTGATCATGGCATGTGATCTGTCCAGAAGCAAATATAAATTTATACCTCTCTGGCTTTGCTATGCTATCTTTCAGGAAATGCTGGACTCTTAAGTACCATCACTTTTGTGGCAGTGTTGCTGTACAGTTTTGTCATGTGTAATCGCTCTGGAAATGCTTTCAAAAGTAATACTGAATTCTGCAGCCAAATCTCATGCTTTCGGAAATAATGCTGGAACTGGACTGCCGGGAAAAGTAATTTTGTTTCAGTGTTTGTGATTGACACTGAGATAATATTCAAAGAGGAACTGTAGCATTTAGCACATGCTTTGCTGTTTCAAGTGTCCTCTCTCAAAGGAGGAGCATAAATGGTAGTTGTTAGTGATTATTGAGGACATAGGTATTCTTATGTTACTAATGAGGCAAATACAGTGCCAGGCCAAATTCTAAATCTGTAATTATCTTTTGCCTCCCTAAAACCGGGAGACAGGTTTGTACTATTTCTATCTAAAAGCACTTCTTTTGATAAAAAACAAATAATGTTTTGTTGTTTTTTTTTCTTTTCCTGTGGCCTAGGACAGAAAAGAAAGCTGAATACTTAATTTATGTCACTTTGTAATGGAAATTAAACAATTAATTCTTCCTTTTACTTTTGAAAATTTCGCCTTTCTAAGTTTTCAGGATTTATAGCAGCTTTATTTTGTCACTTTAAGTCGTGCCATATTGCCAGTAAAAACTGGCTTGCTGTGCAGCTCTGCTATGTTAATTTGTTTACAACTTAAGTGTTTCTGTGGTTTTGCTGCAGCCAGTAATGGATTACTACCAACAAGAGTTTTTTATTTGTTTGTTTGAGGGAAAAGCATGTGTTGTTTTGTCTCTGTTTTTAGATGAATAGATTTCTTTCATACTGAATATAACAGGTAGATATTCATAGCAAAGTTTCTTTACCAAGTAGCAAGTAGTGAAAACAGTAATGTTTGCCTGTGGTTGTTACTGTGCTAGAGTTTGTGAAGCTTCATTTTGATAGGTTACAAACATTGTGGAGTCATGCTGATAAAATATTTGTTTAGCTCTTGTGATGTCTCTGAAACTTGCCAGAAAAACCCCTGTAATTTTTTATTTGTGAAAGCAAAGACAACCACATTCTAGAAAGACATATGATGATAACATCTCCTTGCTACCATCATGAACCAAATTTGGATGATCATTGGGAGGTAAAGGTTTCTACTTCTCTTTCATCTCAGTTGCAGCAGTGATACTGATACAGTGACATATAATAGTGACCCCAGTAATGAACCTGGACCTGAGTGAAGTCAATGACTGCAGATAGAGCTAATTTAACAAATGACAAAAAAGTTTTGAGAATAACACATAAAGAGCTGAGGACACTGACCAGCTGGATTCCAGCTGATGTGTATTTGCCACTGGTGCCACTGGTTGCAGTGGCTGCATGCCATGGACATCAGCATCAGAGTATCCTCTGTTTCTGTGACTGAGAGCATTGAAGCTGCAGCCTTACTGCTAATCTAAAAGTGTAGATCAGTTCATTTCAATGGTCGTGACAAGGAAACGTTCGTTCCACATGAAAGAAAAATGTGTTTCTGTTTTTATAAACAGTGAAAGCTGGAAATAATACTTTATTATAGATATTAGTGATGAAAAAACCAAAGCAGGACTGACTTGTTGGAAACTAAACTTCCATTAATTCTTTTTGTTCCCTTTGGACAAAGCCATAAGGAGACTTGTTTATGATGGAAGACATTCCTGGTAGAAGAAAGGCATAGCTTTAGCAGCAGTTTTGATTATGGTAAAATTAACAGATACTTCATGGAAAGTCTGTGGATTATACTGTGTCACTTCTGTTCTCTGATGCAAGTCTTTAGTAGCATCACTGTTAATTTCCCAATGCTTTCCTAGATGTTTTTGGATTCACTAAGGAGTTATATCACCTGAAAGGTGTAAAAATAGGGAGTGAGGAAGATTGTCCAAAAGACTTCATGTCTCTCCTTTTCCTGCTATTTCAGCATTACTTGACTCTGTGACCAACATGTAATTTTCTGCACCAGAAAACAAGAAACAGCGGTTGTTAACAAGTATGTTCATATATTACACCGAAACAAATGTAGTACTTTCTCACATTAATACTTTCTTAACCTCACTTTGTCATGTAGCTAAGCTTTCTGTTGCCTCAAGAAAGAAATATGTTCAGATTTATGAGAATCATTCATAGGAAAGTCTCTATCTTACAAACTAATTTCTCTTATGACAATGGTTGAAAGAAGACTAAGAGAATGCCAGGCAACACTGAAATGACTTCATAACCCCCAGCGCCTCTGTTTCAAACAGTCCTATTCAAAATATGGAAGATGGCATTACTCATCTACCAGCTGATGCCTCAAGCTTTGACCTGTCTTAAAATGAACAAACGATTAAAAAACCCGAACCAAGCAAAAATCCCCACAGGTCCCCTTCCCACATCCACTTGAAAATATGGCCTTAGCCCAAAGATTGCTGAAGACAGCAGAACTAGAACTTTAAAAAGCTAATTTTACATCCATTAAATACAATTGAAACTATTGCATAACCAAAATAGCCAGATTTTGTGAGCGGATTAAAATTGGCATAAAATTAAACTTGAAAGTTCAGATTGTCCTCTGAGCAGTCCAATTGAGATAGGAGCATTTACAGTGATGTACTAGTCTGTCGTTTCAGTGGATCTGCCATAACTTTTTCTTTCATTTTGTATGAGGTACTGTAGTTCATTCTAGTCTCACAGTTTAAATAACAGATGGAGAAGAATTTCATTTGAATTTTGTTATCCATAGATAAGCCATGCCTGTTTCAGCTGATGGAACTGTGGGGGACCTGCCTGTGAGAGATACGGGTCTAACTCCATCTGGAATTGAAGGATTACAAGGTTTGTACCAGCTGCTATTTATTACAGTTACAGACTTTGATCAGTGGCTTCTTTAGTTCCTTTCTAAAAATGTTTCTGATGTTGCCACTCACAAAATTAAGTTCAAATACCATTCAAAATCTGGGTTAAATTCTGAAAGATGCTATGACCCATTCTATGTTCAAGTTGCTTGTTGTAAGAGGGGACTTGCTGTGAGATGCTAAAAACTGGAAATGTCATTGAGCTGTAGCATTCATCCTTCCAGAAGAAAAAAAGGACTTTTTTTCTGAATTGAGGACAAGGCCAGATCCATTTAACCAGAAGTATTATGCAATTCTGATATGTTACTCAGCTGCTATTATAATGGAACAACTGGGCTTAATCTTGTGTCTGAGTAAATCTGCAGAACTATGAGTTAATCTTTACAAACTTCAAGACAGTATGTTAACTTTGAAAGAGATTAGAAAGCATCTCTTTGGTAATGTTTATTTTTAAGGAACCTGGTTTAAAGAACCTGGTTACTTGCTAAACTGTTAACTTTGTGTTGTCTAATAGGTAAACAGTTTGCTGTATCATTTTAATTGCTTTTTTAATCTGTAATAGGAAGTGATTAACATGACAATAAGTCTGAAAAAATTAATCAACAGACTGATATAAGTGAAAAATATTACTTGAAAAGTTTCTTCTTTTTTCAGTATTTCAAAATGGTTTAGGCTTTGAACTACATGTGGTTGAATATATTGAAGGTAATTTAAAGTTGTCTTGGTTTGGGTAGAATCATCAACCACACAATGTAAAAGCTCTACAAGCTGTACAACAAATCATTCAAGAAGAACTGGAGGACAGGTTTCTTCATATACATGATGACCACATCTTACTCAAGCAGCATACAAATAAGCAAGAGGAGAAAATTAAAAGGTATGAGGTTTCATATTTTTATTTTAGCTTACAGTAACATTTCTTGCCCTTTAAAGCCTTATCAACAAATTAAAAATCATCCTGATTTTTCTCAGAGACTTTTTAAAGCAGTAGCAAAAATCACTGGTAATTCATTTTTTTATTGATTTCTGGTTATCTCTGTGTATGCAAGATTTTTTTTTTTTTGCTGTGGTGGATTTTTTTTGTGGGTATTAGATCTCCATGTACAGAGGTACAGCACTGGCTATCACTTTGGAGTTGTACCTTGGGTTCAGAGCTGTGCTGTCAGAGTACAATGGGTGTTCTGGGAACTGAAGAAGAGGCTACAGAAGCCTAATGATTCGTCCAGAATTACATTCTACAATCAAAATGATCTATACAGAGAGATTCTGCCCTTTATTTTGTACTTCTCTGGCCTTCAGGAAGTAGACTGACATCTTTAGTCTCAGGCTGTGCCAGGGGACATTTAGGTTGGACATTAGGAGGAATTTCTTCACAGAAAGGGTGATGAGATGTTGGAATGGGCTGCCCAGGGAGGCAGTGGAGTCACTGTCCCTGGAGGTGTTTAAGGAAAGACTGGGCATGGCACTCAGTGCCACTGTCTGCTTGACGTGGTGGAGATTGGTCTCAGGGTGGACTCTGTGATCTTGGAGGTCTTTTCTAACCTAGGTGATTCTGTGATTGTCTAGTTAGCTCTAAAATACCTTTATAATCAGCTCTCCTTTATTCAGTGTAAGAGATAACTTCAGTGAAGCAGTCCCAAGTAGCATGTGGAGCAGAGTACCTTGTGTGCCCAAAGGTACCCAAGCAACTTCAGGCTTATTACTAAACTTAGTGCTGTGCTGGCAAACCAGTCTGGGCTCAGCAGAACTGTTCATGGTATTCCTATATTGCAGGAGGGCTAATTAATCCAAAAGCACCAGCACTCTGTGCTCACACTGTGCTGTACTTAATAAATTCTTGCTGCACCCAAGCAAGGTCTGGTCAGAAGCGAACAAATCCATAAAAGAGCAGCTGAAAATACTGCCTCTGTAGATGGGACCATTTTGTACTTTATTAAAGTCCGAAACATTCTTTCCTTTTGCCTCAGTGCATCAGGAACAAATTGACCAGCATGACATAACTTCCATCTTTTCTGTCAGGCTGTTGTCAAATACAAGATGGTGGAACAAATGAATTGTTTGCTTATTCCAAATGGCATTTCCTGTGTTTCTGTTAGATGACTTACCAAATGCACTCATCATCCACTTAGGTAATATTACACGGAATGTCCACATTGGAATACCTGAATTAATACTTTATGGCACAGAAAATAAAAAATACAGTGTTTGTCTAGATTGCCAGACAAAGCTAAATTTCTTTTCCAGCATCCCTCATGCCAAAACCCTTGTAACTAGAAGTTTGGAATGAATTTGCAATAGAAGAACATTGAAAAAAACCCAACAGATAAACAGAAAACCTGCTCGCAGGCAAGTAACATTCTGTGACATCCTAAAGTCATTACGGATTTTTTTGGTTTCACTTTTGTTTCTTTAAGTAGAAGCTTCTGTCCAGAAGTATACAAAAACTAAAACAAGCCTCCTTTAAACAAATGAGGTGTGTCCTTATTTTCAGTTTTCTTTCTGGACCTTCAAAAATAGATTCCCTGTAAACTAGATACAGGTCTTGAAGATGTGCGACCGATTTTGTAGAGTCTTGAACTTGTCTCTTTCATCAAAGCCACCTTTTCTTTCTTTATATGCCAAGTTTTTTCTGTTCACCGCTGGGTATGTTTTCTGTTCGTGTATATTACATCACCCCCATGTGCCCTCTCTGCCTTTTGCTCCAGCTTACCAATGTTTATCAAAACTAAGGGAAATCAAAGGTACAACTCTTGAGATGCCAAGAGCAAAATTTGTATTCTTTTAAGGACAGATGAAAACCATTCCCTCTGTATCTAATTATATTCTTCAGCTAACCGTTCCTTGTCTGAAGCACATTGGTAATATTTACCAAGTATAAAATTGAGTATGCTAATGAGAACTATTAAGTCTCTTTTTCCAAAGTACCTGCTTAAATATTTCCACCTCTGTATTTTAGCCACTTTAGAAATGAGACATATATTTAAACCCTAAATTAGTAGAAATTATGTATCATTGGAATGTTGTATATTATTAGCATTCTTTGAATAGTTGAATGTTTTGTGAAACTGTATCTTTTATAGTTTGCCCCACCACATCCCAAATCCGTAACTTTACTTAACAGCATGCGGAGGTTCCTATATAAGGTCATGCGTTAAAAATTACATTTAAGCAGCATATGGAGTAAATATGTGTCCTCCCTTTACTAACCTTAAATGATAAGCCTTAGGAAACTGTTATTTGTCAGTGCTATAAAGCAGATTGCTGCACAGTGGTTTCAATTATCTTCAAAGAGTTCTTCACAGGCAGTAATAGTTATATCAAAACCTGAAATTTATTATTCAGGTTCTATGCTGAAGTCTTCACAGTGATTATGTTCCTTTCAACAGAATGCTTTTTATGCTGACTTTTCACATTCTTTTTCATCTTTTTTTATTATTTTCCCCGGAATGACCACCAAGTTAACACAGCTTGTTAATGGTAAAAAAAAGTCTGAACAGGTTGGTGGCGACCTCAAGTGGCCGGGTCAGGCCTGGAGCTGGAAGAAAGAATTGAGCATTTGCAGAAAGAGTTCATGGGCTTGAGAGACAAAACGAGAGCCTCTGCAGCAAACTGCTTTCAACTGACCAGCAGCTCCAGATTCTAGGCCATAGGCCTTGTCCACACAGCTGTGTTCAATCTTTTGTTAACACTGGTCTCAGAGAAGTGAGTGAGGCCGCTGGCAGGCTGGAGCAGGCAGGGGAAGGTGTAATTCACATTTATTAAAAACAGGGGTTTATATCGGTACCCCTAATAATTGCTGTGCTGTAGCACGTCCATACTCTTTTTCTGTTCATCAGTGGGCAATAATAGTACCTGTAGACAGAAAGATTTTTCTTTCCTTTTTTTTCTTGTATTTATTTATAACAGTCATGATAACTTGTTTGCCTTTGAAGTCCTTATTATGAGAATCCACAGTAGTAGGGGTTAAACAAAAGCGCAGATTTATCAAGCAAGTTTTCTAATAGTTAAAATCATGGGACTTCCTTAGTATAACTTCTCTACATGTTAAAGGGTTATAAAAGTAGTATATGAAAAAGTTTAGTGTTGTCATGTAATAACAAAGTTTCACATCTGTAGTTTGTTTGCACATGTTTTTCCTTTTTTAATTTCAAGGTTTGTTCTAGTCTCTTGATACATGTGTGCACAACACTGCAGATCTGAAAAATCTGTCGCACGTGTGGACTTTGAAAAGCAAATCCTACACTGCAGCCATCTATAATGAGGCTTTTTACTGTTCAGACTTACTGCTTAAGGCAGTCTCTCTCTCAGTCCTTTACTTATGGTAGCTACATTTGGAAACGTCACTTTAAAGTCTTCCTGTTTTCATAGGAACATTTCTAGAAGTACTTGTAGTCAGTTAACTTATATGCTGGACTGATAATGTGTTAGAAAAAACCACACAACAAAAGACTTACGGCCCTGGTTCAAACCTGAGTCAGCAGAATTGTCTCCTTAACTTCCACAAGTTATGGATCAGGCTGGTGGCCAGTTACGCTGTGGTTTTTTCCTCCATCTCACCCTCACATTGGCCTTTATTTTCGTTACATTGATTATTTAGGCAGATGAAGATAAAAAGAATTCTCATGTTTTCAGACAGACAATAAAAAGTGATCGTCTCTACCAATTTGCTTCTTTAATTTATATGTAGTACAAACTTTGACATTTTTAATGCGCCTACATTTTTACACTTCATATCATTAATTAGGTGGTTTTATTCCCAAAATCAGTGTTTGTTTTTTTGTTTTAACAATGCAAAAATAGGGTAGAACTATAATAAATTGATTCAAGCCCAGTAGTAGCAAAGAGAAGAGGGCAACTTGATTCAAGGAATAAAGATCAAATGTTGATATGGCACACTGCGAGGATTTTTCTTGGCATAAGAACAGATCCAGATTCAAGATGTCCTGTGCAGACCCCAAGCTAAGTATACAAATATATGAATTAATGTGCAATTATGTATTTTGTGCTTGAAGTTCTGTGAACACAAGATTTACTTGAATCATAGGAAATCATTGTACAGAAATACACTTATAAATTGGCATGTTCTGGATAAATCCCACTGTTAAAGGCATGTCATCTGATTTTTAGTGTGACAAGTTACCTGTCAGAATAAAAGCTTAAAAATTACTTTCACTGCTCCATCCATTGAAGATCTCATAATCTTTGATAGCTAGTAATGGTGTTTTGCTTTTCAGAAAACAGTTAGTACTAATGCATTAGAAGGAGGATACTTCTAACATAGTGTAGGGTCTGTGTTGTGTTTTCATAGTGAAATAAACTCTTAAACCTCTGCTACAATGCATGTCATTCAGAAAAACAAATTTTGCTGAACACCTACAATTTTTGCTCTCTTGAGTATTCATTTAATTTCTTACTTTTATTAAATACTTGAGTTTGGAATGTCAGATGCTTGTACTTGCAGGGAGACTGTGATAGAGTCCCAAAGGAAACTCAGTTGAGGAACTAGAACATGCCAAAAATACTTGTGAGTCAACTAGAGAAAGAAAGAAAAGGAAATTGAGGAGTCCATCCTACGGCTGAAAGAGCAGAGAACAGCAAGCCAAAGGTATTGTGAAAAATAGAAATCTCCATGGTGGAAGCATGAGAAGAGCTATGTCATAGTGTTTATATGTAGCTGTGGAAATTAATTCTTCTGTCAAGGAATATGTGGTTTATTCCTTTCTTCTGTTTGGTGAAACTAACTCATAAAATGTTTTACCAAACAGCCATGTATCCACGTATCCATTCTAAGCAGGGAGATTGGTATGATAAGAAGTTATGATTTTTTCATAAATAAACAAAGACGCTCATAATTACCATTTTAGAGAATTCATTTCCAACTCCTACTGATTCAGTTGAAGTCATCAAGTCATCAAATTTTAATCATCTGTTCATTCTTCAGTATGATTCTTACGAAAATTTAGATATACGTTCATAGCAAGCAGTTTAATGTTCACTAATACTCATTAATAATTTGAAGTCTGCAAATAGTAGAAAAATATTGGGCCTGTAAGGGCAGATTAGCAAATTTTTGAAGGAATAGCTATGCAGTGAAGCAAAGTCAGACAAACATGCATGCAGAATGTGTTCACAATAAAGCCTCTATTAGTTTAACCTCTTTTCTTTCTCCTCTTCCTTCACTTTTGCAAAAATGCATGCAAAACTATATAACTTTGCATGTATTTTCCCCCTTTTGAGTGTTTCAGTTTCAGACTATTACCTTTAGTTGCATTAAGGGTCTGATACTTTGTGATCCACCTTCCTTACGAAAGTTCTACTTGGATGAGAAGTCTGTGGTCAGTTCCTTAACTGCCTTTTGAGGGAGGGACCCCCTTATTATGTGTGAGCATTCTTTTGTGCATCAGTGGTGCTACATAAATAATACATCATAATGTTTGCTATTAAATTATTCACAAAGTCATAAGTCTCCCCTATTCAGAATTTCCTTTATTTAGTTTAAATAGGTTAAAGAAGTTGTTATCATAAATAATTTCTCAGTCTGCGCCTACAGTGGATCCAGAAAATATTTAAAAGATTTTTTCATTATTTGAAAATAATCTGTTTCAAATAACTTCCGTGCTTCATTTTCTATAGATAAACACTGTTCTTTAAGTATAGCAGGCAGAAACTGAAGATAACATCTAAATTCATTGTCAAATACCATATTTCTGTAAGATTTTTTAAGAAGTTTTAAAGATACACTTCAAATTCATCTAAAAATTCCTTTAAAAGTAGTGCAGATCCTTATTTAGATTTATGAAAGTTCATGTATACAATCCATGATATTTGACCTACGTTACTATCTGTGAGTTCATGTTTGAAGTTCTAGAATTATTTCCTTTACATTTCTTGTTTGAAACCTGATAAAAGATACATTAGTATTTAAGAGTTACTGTGTTTGACTGAAGAAACTAGGAAATAAATTGAAAATGTAGAATAGTGTGTGTATTTTTCCACTAGAATACTTTATGGAAGACTCTTAACCCCCATGTTTTCCAAGGTATGTATTTTTTTATGCTGAGTGAACCAGAGCCAGAACTTTAAGGATCTTCTCCAGGTTTTACTGTAACCATAGGTAATACATACGTATTCTATTTAGGAGACTTTCATTAGCTTACTTACTTGAAAGTCTTGTACCTGCTGTCTAGAACAGTCTGCACTAATTGTTTTATTGCAATAATAGATTTATAGGTTCTATGTAATTTTTAATCTTCTTTGCATCAGCAGAGAAGAAACTGTCAATATTGGAGGAAAAACTGGAAATTTGGGTGTTCAATAAGGTCATCTTGGTTCATCGTTATATCTTTTGACTTTGAATTTTGGTACAATTGGCAGCTTTTTCTTGTGTTTTGTAAGAATACAGTTGGCTGTCATCTAGTTATGTAACTACCCAATGTTTGTTGACATTCTTTAGGAACTGTGTGGTGCCAAAAGGGCATAATAACTGTGCTCCCACAAGTCTTTTTGCTGTTGCACCATTTGATATCAGCCTGCTGTTAACAAAATTAGGTTACTTTCAGCCTTGAGGAAAACATTCTTTATTGTGCTACATGGTTGAGAGGGTTCTTGTGATTGAAATACCCATAGTTTCCAAGTAGCAAAGCAGCCACAGTAAATCCTTGATCCATCAGCAATAAGGAAGGGAGATACTTGTTATCTTGAGTCCTCTACCCACAAGAAATCCAGTAATATTTCAAAGCTGCCTTTGCAGCTTCAGTGTAGTTTCTGTCTAACACCACATGAGCTACATAACAGAGCTGAGTTCATATGCACAGTACTCCTTGAAATGATCATTGGAACATGACTGCAGTGTTTTTTTCCATCTTTAATTAGAGATCATTTGGGGATTCTTTCAGGAATATCTAATTCTGCCTTAAGGGAGAAACTTGGCCTGTGGGTTATTAGACTTAACACATTAAGTACAAAAGTTATTTGCATTCATCTTGACTGTTTATAATTTAAAGATGTCCAAAACCATAACCTTTTGGTTTGATATCTGTTAGACACAGTGCTCAAGGTAAAACATTAATTCTAAATAAAATCATTTAGTAAGCAGGTAGCTTCAAATAATAGCTGATGGTACTTTCCAAAAACATTTTTAAAGCCATCCCAGAATGCATTTGTGAAACAGGTATTTGGTATTTGCACGTTTGCCTTCCTATAAGAAATGAGACAAAGGAAAGGGCATAACATATAATCCTATTCGTTCTTAAGCATTGTAAAATAAGATGAATACTGCACATTAATGTTTTATTCTTTACTTCTCTGCTTAACAGTCTGTGTATCTCGTCCATTGGTGCATCTGTGGTTGCGAATGATTAGCTGAGAAGCTTTTTTTTATTTTGCCAGACAGAGGGCAAGTGATCCTGAGAAGTTAGGAGGTGATATGTGTTTAACTTGCTTGTTTTTCTTGTTCTGAATGCAGATAGGGAAAGTTTGTGAGCCACTAATCCAGTTGATACAATAGTCGTGACTCTTAAGAGTAGTCTCAGTATTGTATCCATGTCCTGCTCATATGGAAGCAAAGACAAGATGCAAGGGATGTGGTTTAATTAGACCTCAGTTTTATTAGCTTAGCCATCTGGGATTTACTGGCATAAATTTGTACAGTGCAGGTCAAGATCCTTTCTTTAATCATTTCCTTCTGCTGTAGGTTGCTGTCAGTGCCCCATTCCCACACAGCTGGTCCCCAGCCTTGTTACTGGGACCCCACTCTCTGTGCTTTTAATCCAAATGATAAGAGGTCTGGAAAAAAGGTTGTCTCTTTGGTGTACTTTAGACGTTAACCCCAAACATCATTCTTAGCTTTTTTAAGAGTCACTTTCTCCTAACTTCATTCTCCATTTCAGACTTTTAAATCCAGCTTGAAGATGAGGTTTAAAGTGGAAGGATAGAGTCATGTTCCTTATTTTTGCAGTTGTGATAGAAGGCATGCTAGAGCTAGATCAGTAGGCCCATTAATTCATGTTACTGTCTCCAAAGGGATATTGGTTCATTTTCTTTTTCTGACTTGTGTTTCAGCTCTACCTCCACATCTTCAGGTTCTATGGCAGAATTTTTTTTACTTTTTGGGCAATAAAGAAAATATTGATTGAGCTATCTCAGTACAGCCTTAGTCTTGCACATTAGTTTGAGGGAAATATTATTTGTTTAAGTGAAAAGTATCATTGAATTTATGTTAAATCTAAATATAACCCCTATTTTTAAGTTGTATCAGAAGACCTGGGCAGATGTTCTGGGAGCAGAATGTAACACCTCCCTGGGAAGCAGAAGGCTGTGTAGATCATCAATTTCTATTCTATTCTACTGTTTTGTGGCTTAATTCATGGAAAAATTAACTTCCCCAACAGAATCTTCCCCAATTAACTTTGCCTTGCCCACAAAATCTGAAGAGATCTCATACTTCAACAGCAGGCTCCTTGTCACGTACCTAGCTGCAGTGGACATTTCTTAGGCATATTTTATTTAAATAAATAAATAAAGTACAAGTACTGTAGAGAAATAATATAATGAGAGCTGAGATTGTGATTGATGTAATACACTAATAAGTAATTAATTGCACATGCTTTCTGTAGCTAGAAACTTCATGAGATACTCTTACAATTGAAATGATCCAAATAAAAATAATTTTTCACTTCTGAATTTGAATAATTTACGCCATAATATCAGTTTTGCAAACCTGTTTAAATCAAATGCTGTTTCATTCACTGTTGAAAAAATAGTTAATGTTGACTGTCAGGAGCCATGGAGTTTACATCTGTACATCATAAATTTCACTATCATCTGCTCCTTCTTCTACTTAAAAAGAAAAAAAAAAAAAAGCTTAAAAAAGAAAGGGGGAAAAAAGAAAAAAAAAAAGCCTTTGAAGGCATCAGAGCCTTTTGTTTGATGTGTGGAACAAGATTAATAAAAACGTGCCACTACATTAGCTTTTAAATAGCTAGCATGAGACAGTTGCTGCTGTCTATGCTCACCACAACTTTAATTTATGTAGATAACATGTTTTAGACACATGATAGTTTTAACATTGAGTTAGGCCTCTTTTTTGGTGAAGATCTCAAATTCGTAAGTTTGTTTATCTTCTAAGTAAGGACAATTAACTGGGCAATGCCAAAACACAATAGCATGTGATATTTTAAAGAATAAAAGGAAAGTATTTCATGTACTCAGCTGGTTTACAGATGTGTAAGCTTTGTAGTCCATTGTCTTGCTCCAGCGTGGCATTGTGACAATTCGTCCAATATGACTAAAAGAGATAAATATTGGAAGAGAAATTACCTTTTCAAATGTAAAAGATTTATTCTGATTTTATAATCATTTATATTTATACAGATCAGAATCGGTTTCTCTTCACATACTTGAAGAAACTGTGAAAATAATGGAGTTTAGATGCAGTGTTTGAAGTGAGGGAAAACATCTAAATAAATATTTCTTTAAATTTTGAATGATTTTAAGCATCCTTTCTATTAAACACTACATTCTCAGATCTTAGAATTTTAATCTTAGCATTGTAACAATATTTACGTAAATACTAAGTTATTTTCATGTAGTTAAGACAAACCTGCAGCTTGTTTGAGTACCAGCGTTAAGGTGTTACAGTATGAATTGCTGAGTCACTTTTTCTTAGCAATATTTGGTGGGTTTAAACTCCTGAAGGAAACTCCATAAAATGGTATGCTACTGCACCAAATACTTCAGAGGGTGGAAAAGTGAATGGAAAACAGTCTGTTTAGGTATAAGGTTGTTTTCTTTTCCTGTCATGTACAGTTCTATACAATAGTCAAAGATGTCGATGTATTGACTGAAGTTGCTGTGTCATCATTTTCATTTACATAAATTCTGTAATGTGCATCATAAAATAAATTAATTTGGGTCTTACATACTAAATCTTCTCTCCAAATGTGCTGTAGAAAGCTGATTTGCAAAATATTTCAAGTTTTCAAAACGAAAGTGATATAATTAATTTTGTATTTTTAAGCTCATGATGCATTTCTTTTTAATTTTGAAGGCTAAACATTCAGGACAATGTGGAACTGATCAAGGTCCATTAACAGCTGGTTGAGAAAAGCAGTGCTCTTTCAGCAATGGGAGGAAAATGTCTCCAGCTTCAAGAGATAATTGCAACTTGGTCAGTACATTCCCATGCTCTCATCACGTAAGCCTGCTTAAATGGAAAAAAAATATACCCAGTCCTTGATTTCTAGTCAATACTGAGGACATGAAAATGTACCACATACTACATTTCTCTCAAGCTACTCCAAATAGAGTAAGGACTTTTAGTCTTAAAATTTATTTTTTTTTTCAGAAGGGTATAGCAGGTCTTTAATGATTTTATCTGCAAAGTCATCTGAAGCAGATTGTGAGGAATGAACTGAGTTGTCTGGCTATTGAAAGACACTCATGAGTTAAAGAGGGGACTTTGCCTTAAATATGCTACCCCCCCTCACTTTATCAGAGCAGGTTTGGCTCTTTCAGTCTCACATTAGGATATAACATAAGGATATGTTCATGGAAATTATTTTAGAGGGCTACTGTAAGTAATAACTTTCCTTATAAAAAGAGCATTTTTATGAAAATATCACCAGAACATGCAATTGCATGGTAGATTCTGTATAGGTTTTAGTTATTCAGCTCTTGTCTCCTTTTTCCTGTATGTCTTTGGAGAACTGCATGTCCATACAGAGGTGATTTGGTAATAGCTTGGAAATGGGAGAGTTCCTGTAAGTAGGAGTCCTAACTGCAATAGAACTTTATAAAGTATCCTAGCCTTATGAGATGGAAGCACTTAATATCCTTGTGAACTCTTACTGTTGCCTGCTACTTATTATTTTAGCATGCTAAATAACACTTGTGACATTAGATTTTTGTTCTGTTCCTTTTTTCCCTGTGTTGTTCTGTTTCTACATTTTGCTTTGTTTTGCCTCCCTCCCCTTCTTTGGTGTAATACCTATATCCCCCCTGCCAAAGCAGCTCTCCTGTTAATAGCTCAAATCTAATTTTTCGTAGGGTGAGCTATGTAGAGTGTAAATTCCAGGGGAGACAGGTTTCACATGGCTTTTTCTGTTCTTAAATAGAAAGCGATAAGTGAACTGTTCCATTTTAAATCATGTGCCACTTTTTGGTAATTTACAACAAACGTCAAGTGCTTGTGCCTCTTTCCTGGCAGCAGCTGAATGGAAACACATGCACAGGATTTAAAGTGGTATTTGAAGACATTGTTTCTAATATTCACAGTGAAAGGTGCATTTTGAATAACGATGAGTGAGTGTTCTGTCTCTTTTTTGTTGTAAGAGAATGCCTGCAATGGTTTTCTGATTTCCAATCATTTGAATGCTTGAAACATGTCTACTAAATGTGAATAACTGTAAAATCCAAAATTTCTAGTTTACATGGCATGTAACATACTTATCAACACAGCAGGTTTTAGTTCTTTTTGTGTTTATCTTGATTTTTTTTGTCTATTGAGTTCATTATCGTTTACTTTCCGTTTCTACCAATTGAAGCCCATATAATTTGTCCATGTTCATCTCTGAACTTGAGTCGGCCCAAAATGTGAAACCACAGAATGATAGGAGCCTATAATCCTGCTGCATCTAATGATACTGAAGTTGAGCTTCTTACCAAACGTTTTACCTGACAGTTTTGTTGCTGCGGAATTTTAATGTAACCAGTTGAATGAAGGAATTGTGCATTCTGCTTAGAGGAACCAGGGACCCTGAAACTGCTAGGAGTATGCAGTTTATCCCATTGGTATATTTATTTGCTTTAATTACAGACTGAGTTTTCAGGATTTCATGATTTATAATATGGAATGTGTTAATCTGTGGAACTGCAAGGTAAAGTACTACAGAGGGTCAATTCTTTTGAACTACTGGTACAGTAGTTTCACAACTGCAATGGAGAGCAGTTGATATTCATTCGTGCAGTATTTCTAGAAGGTGTATATCCATTTTCTTTAAAAGAGTTATTTCTGACTGACAACAATATCAAGACGTGTCTCCCAAAGAAAGAAAACTTCAGACTAGAAACATTAACCTAAAATCATCCTCCTGATTGTTGTCATGACCTGAGTTTTGGGATACTCCAGGGGCAGCAGGATAGAGAACAGTTTGGGTATAATGGGAAAATGTGCTGACAGATATAGAAGATGATCCAGGTAAAAAATGAATTTTGGAAGAATATAAAAATAATGAGGGTGAAGTCGTGGTCCCCTCAAAGTTAATGAGGAAAACTAATTCAAAATGGTCAGGAGAGTAGCAGAGAGACTGAAGAAACAGAATGAAGTGGAAGCAAGGAGATTTTTCAGGAGGATGTTTTTAGTGTTTTTAATGAGATTGTTCAGTAGAAAATACGATTGCTGGATTTGTCTTCAGCTCTTTTGGTAATGAAGGAAAGAGATGAGGATGAAATGGTCTATGAAAGGCAGCTTTGCCAAGGTGTTTAATTTGTTTGGTTTTCTCCCTATATTGGGGTTGGAGTGGCACAAGTTATTGAAATGGAAAAGAGCTTCAGAAAAAAAATTGAAACAGAGATGGATGAAAAGATGAGTTCACTTGGACAGTTGGGTTATAGACTTTAAGGATTCTGATTTTGTTAAGAAAGGAAAAAATGTGGACAGATATGAAAATACTTGTAAAAATGCTTTTGAAGGTTGTAATTTTTTGAAGTTACTGCAACAGAGTTCACAGATATAGGACAGAGCAAGAAGAGCACTGCAAAAAGATTGTTAAAAATTGTGGAGCAATATGCATCATTAACTCCCTGAAACAAGATTGCTGATATTTTTTTATTCTCCACAATATTTAGAAATAAGATATGAAAGGTTGAAGATCAGTTTGGTGGTTGGTTTTTCATGTGGTTTTTGTTTGTTTCTTGTATATTCAGACTGCAAGTGACCCCAAACGATCTACAGGATTCACATTCAGCTTCTCCATTTAACTACTTTGTAGGGATATTATATGGGAAAAATGAAGCTAAATGTCTTTTGTCTACAATCATTAAACATTATCTATACTCACATATGTATTTGGTAGAAATTTTCATAGAATCATTTTGTTAAACAGAAGATTGGCTTGTGGACTGTTTTGTTTCAAGTCATGCTTTGAATGTGATTTACGTTGAAATTCTTAATGAATAAGGCCTTATTAAAGCTTTGTGGAATGTAGGCACTATAACATTAACTAATATTCTAGAAATAGAGATTCTATCAGCATCCTCAATTTAATATAAAATTGGTTAAATATGCCTTAATATAATCCATTGAAGTAAATGAAAATGTAAAAGAAATCAGAAGGCCCTTGTTAAAATACTGCTAGTAGGGAATTGAGTGTATTAGGATTATGAAACAATGATATATCTACAATTAAGGGTTAACAGAGCTGTGGCAATCTCTGTGATTAGCATAACTGTGGTCAACATTCATTTTTGCTTGCTACTGCAGTGTTTTTTGGTCAGCATGTCTAACCACTGTAACCACAGCAAAATCTTTTAATTGCTGAACAGATGTATTTCTTGGTTGTTTTCATCATGACTGAACTGAGGGTTTAATGTTCATGAGAGCACCAAGACTGCCACCTTCTCTTGGCCATGTGGAAAGAAAGTTGCTTTCAGTTACTTGGATCAAGAGTGTCTCCTGCTGACCACATTCAGAATATATATTAAATACTGCCATGAGAGACCACTGTTGGAATCTACAGTGTTGTAACATTCTACTAGGTGTGATTTGTTTTATTTTCTTTTAATATTCCTTCCTTCCTTCCTTTTTAGAGAGCCTAAACAATTTGAAGACCTTCCACGATGTTTTATTAGCAAAGGTGGTGAACTGAATGTACATCTTAAAGAGGAGCAGTTACAATGCCTCCATCTTCAGAACGAATTGCAATCAGTAACTGTTTCAAAGAGAAGGAACGAAGAGGTGAGGTTGTGATCAAGAGCACAGAATCATTTAATGTTGTAACAATAAATTGGAAAGAGAAATGGATCATTTCATTACAACCACCTTTTAATGACCAGCATTTTTGGTTACTTGTTTGAACAGTGCAACTTTACCACGGCTTACCCGTTGCTAGCAGTGGACAGACCAGTGTCTGCAGTTACTAGATAATTTTTTTTTCCTTTTTTTTTTTTTTAATGGAGGAAAAGAGGCATAAACCCATTCTTTGCTAATGTTATTTTTAGGAAATTTATTTGACGTTGATGGGAATTTTGCCAAAGCCAAGCCTGCAGAACTGGATCTGAAAAGTTTTCAAAGAACAAGTATGAATTTGTCAGTTGACTCTTATTATTTAGTCAGTATCCAAGAAAACAATTCGTTTGGATAAAAGGTTTGGAGGAATTGTTTTCATATGACCTTGTAATGCAAATCTAGCAATGCTTAAACTCCCTCCAAAGGAAATGGTGCCAGATGTGGTTGACCATTATAGTTACACAGATGGCTCCAACTTCAATGAAATACAGTAAATATGAAAGAAATTCCACATGAATTCAAGTAAAAGTAATCTTAAAATTCAAAGGAAGAAAGCAACACAAGAGGACTCAATTCAAACTGACATAAACATTAGCATTATATAGACTCGGATAAAACCTGTCATCTAAAATGTTCTTCATTTAAACATCTGCATTCTGAACTACTAACTCTTAATGATTTTTCTGCCATGGTCTTCTGAAAAACTGAAATATATAGCTACATCTTCATGTGAAGTAATTGTACCTAAAGCTGATGAATGCACATATAACTAGATAATGTGGTCATTGAGACTTGAAAACATTTTCAGAAGTGTGAAAACTGATGGTCTTTCTTTTTTTGATGAGATTTATGCTTCCCTTATGGGAGCCAATTAAACTTTAGGCAATTGGAGAACACACTGCCTCTCTTCTGTTCCTGTGCAGTACTATGGAATGATAGTGGGTTCAGTGCATCCTATTCCCTGCATATTATCTTTAAAATATAAGGAGAGTGAAGCATATATTACTGCAGGACTTAGAAGCATTGCTTAAGTGCATGTGTGCTGTAAAAACACTTAGTCACACTGTAAGATGCTCTATGCTTATACCTGTGTAAATAGGTTAGATGTAGTATGAGAAAAAGACAATACAAAGAAACAGAACTGTTTTTATGAGGAACACAAATCAGGAATATAAACCTTTGCCATATACTTTAGAGTTTACAATTCATGCTGTAGTATTTTTTCTCTTTAATCTTTCATTCTTCAAATATATTAGATATAGATGCACTTACAGGTACTCAGAACTCTTCCAGTCAGAATGTAGAGGCTGTCCCTTGCAGGCTGTCCCTTCTGCAATATTTTTTTCTCCTCTCTCTTTTTGTGGTTGAGGCTTGTTATATAGCAGAGATGGGTTGATAAATAGATAGATGTCAGAAAATTTTTAATACATTTATACATGTAAAATATAATGTTTGTTAACTGATGAGCTTCACCAAAGTGAAGAGTTGAGGAACTGACTCCTGTTTTTTTAAAGAAACATACAATTTCTGATTTTTCACAGAATACAAAAGTGAATAAACTGTTCTGTGCTTGATTAAGATGGACGTTTTTCCAATAAATAAAATGCAAGTATAGAGCAATAATAATTTGAAGACTATAGCACTCACTGTTTAATTTATATGAAAGCTCATTGCATTGCTTTGTCTTTTTGCCTACTGGAAATTATACTGTAAATTATATAATGTATTTAATTTTGTTTCAATCTGAGTTACACATTTTGTTGTGGCTTCAGCAGTTCTCATTCTTTGTCCATGCAATCCTTATTGCACATAGGTTGGTAATATACAAGTAAATAATGTGTTACAGGCAAAATAGTTATTCTAATTTCTTTGCCTATCTCTGGTTTTTATTTCTTAGAGTAGGAGAAAGATTACTCTTGATGTGCTTCTTAATCAGTATCAGAATTGTTGTTTTACAGTATGAGAAAACTGTTGTCACTTTGTGGTCACCATTTCTTTGAATGGGCAACTGACTTTAGGCTCTGCATGTTTCACAGATTTAAAAGAAATCAGGTGGATGATCCCAATTCTCTACATTAAGAGGTTTTGTATGTGGAAAGAATGGTTTTGTTAGTTGTCAGTCGCTGAGGTTTGGAGTTGTGGATTACTCTGGGATATGCATCTGAATTCCTTTTCTAGTCCCACAAATGTTGCATGCTGCCAACTTTTTGACTTTGGAGCTCTAAATTAAGGCCAGTTCCTTCGCTCATCCCACAAACTCTTTCATGTTTTTCAACCGCAGCCTGAGAAAGGCGCCTTGGTTTCAACAGCAGCAGACCAGCATGTGTTTACTTAATTCCTAAGACATGATGACAGTGGTCTCTGTGCCACCAAAAGCTTTTTTCTTTATTATTTTCTGTTGAAGCTGATTTCTGAAAGTTTTTCACATGCCATATGTTTTATTGGAGTGTCTTCTGTATGACCCATGAACAGCAGTGGAAATCAAAGGAACAGCAGCTGACACTGCAAATTGCTAAACCAGAGATGGCTATCAAATCTGATTTAGCAGACAATGAAATCCTTGACAAGATCAAAGTAGAAACAGGTATATTTCTGTAAAAAAACCCTATTTTCTCAAGATGTAGAGGTCAAGATGAGGAGTTCAGGAATATTGCCCAGAAAATTGGGAAGTGGTTTCTCTTGCTGGTGATCTCAATGCTGCCTTTTAAGTGTACATTTGTACAATACACTAAAGTTATGAGTAACTGTTAAGTACAAAAATTGACCCGGTACAGATTATAAGCTGAATGAGGCTCATATCATTTCAGCTGTATTTATTCTTCATCTGTTGAGTTAATATTTACTCTTTATTCAGTATTTCTTCTCCACATTGGCAGTTCTTATGGAAAAGAGGCCCATCTGACAGTCTCTCTCAAATTAAAAACCACTATTCTATGTACTGCACAAAGTTACCTGAAGCCCATTCTTTCTCTTGGTCATGTTTAATTAATTTTAATTAACTATTAAGTCAGAAATTTTTAATATTTTCAGAATACACCAATTTTTATTTACAGCTATGTGCATTTACAATAACATATTTTTCTTCTAATCTACTGAACAGATTATTTCATGTGTGTTTTTGTCATGCTGTAGAACAACTTCTCAGTGAATAATTGACCTTGCAATCTTTTCTTTTTTTATCTCAACACTGTGAAATACTGTGCCAGTATAAAGTTTACAAAAGAAGAGCACAGACAGGAAGTAAACTAAATATTTTTAGAGTTGATTCTTCTAGTGTGTGTTTTTAAAAAGTGTATTTCTGTGAACAGCCTAGTGGAATGAAGTGGGCAAACTTGTTGTGAATAATCTTTATGATGATTATGGCTTGAGTTCATCATGTGCTTACCATTAAGATTCTGAGTAGCTCTACTGACTTCTAATACCAGATTGAATATTTAAACATTTTATTTGACTACAGCAAGTGTTTGCAAAACTGGCCTTAAGTGATACTAAATAAATGAGTATAGATAAATAAAAATGCCTTAAGATACATTAATATGAAGCTATGACATATTGACAGTTGTTACTGACAGCTTTACTATGCAATGCTGAATTTAAAGTGGTATTAAGAGTATGAAAATTTCATAGGCCATACTATTATTAGGGATAATAAGCAAAATAGGTCTCAGTGGTCTTCAAAGTGTGTACTTTTTATGTACAGGGAAAAACAATGATGATTAGGGGAAGCAAGCTAAACAGCAACCAGCATGCAGCACCAACCCCAATCCAAGTGTGCTCTGATCACTGCTGGTACTATTATAATGGGGAAAAAATAGAGACTTTGAGTGGATCCTCGTGAAATAATGTAGCTGTGTGGGAAAACTGAATGGCAGGACCCTCCTGTCACTTCAGTTCCCTAAAGGGTGTTGCAGAAATATTCATGGACTCACAGAACGGTTTGGGTTGGAAGGGGCAACAGTGGGATCATCTGGTCCAACTTCCCTGCTCAGGCAGGGTCATCCTAGAGCACATGGCACAGGATTGTGTCCTGATGGTTCTGGAATATTTTCAGAGAGGGAGACTCCACAGCTGCTCTGGGCAGCCTGTTCAGTGCGTGGTCACCCACACAGTACAGAATCATAGAATATCCAGAGCTGGAAGGGACTCAGCTCCTGACCCTATGCAGGGCACCCCAAGAGTCACACCATGAGTCTGAGAGCGTTATCCAATCGCTTCTTGAGCTTTTATTGTTTGGATGAAGTTTATTTTGCCCTCCCTCTATAAATTACCATTATGTAGCAGGATGAAATGATGAAGAAACTTTGGAATATAGCTAGACATGTATTGTGAACAAGTGGTTTGGCTACTTAAAGAAACACTGCCACAGGTTTTGGCAAAAGCAGGGTTTAATGTGAATTTGTGAAAATACAACTTTACAGAGTTTGATGGCAAGCCTCACTCTATTACTACACAAGTTAAAACAGACAAAGGAAGATCAAATTAGAAGCAATTTGGAATGATTTACACTGAAGCCAGGAATGCAAAGGGGATTAAGGGTGCCAAGATATGGATGCAAAGATAAGGGTGCAAAAAAGTTTAGCACCACTTAAACACTGAGTATTTTAACATTTACAAAGCGATTCCATAGGGCTCACTACAATTATAAACAGTGACTTAACCATAGATTTGACGTAGTAACATTCATACCTCAATCAATTCGTGTGAACACAGGTAAAGTGATGTGTGCACCTGTACAGATACCTATCAACGTTAAAGGTATCTACCAGGGGTTCAGTGAATTAATCACTTAAATCCCTTTGTGTTTCCTGACAACCAAGAGTTACACCTTAATGAATGTGAAGATGGAGGGGGTGAGTATCAGCCCAGGCCTTGTTGTCACTGATGGTCCTGCAAGTATCTCAGATTTCAGCCTTTGTGAGTCTTGAGAGGTGTCCCAGGCAGGGAGAGGTGACCAAACACAGCTCCTGAAGTCCAGGAGAGCTCAACAGGCCTCACTTTTATGGGGTTTAAGATGACTGAATTCAGTCATCAGTACGTTTCCATCCTGGACATAACCCTGTAATGTGTATCCATTGATGAGCTATGATTATGTAAATGAACTCCAAGATAAAGAAGATAATAAGATTACTTTAGAGTAAGTTATGCACTGAAGTTATTTTACCTTAGGTAGCATGTTTGTTCTGTTGTAGCAAGGCTGATTCTTTTTTATATGATATTAGTTTGCTTTTGAAACAGAAAATACTGTATAATTTAAGTTATAAAATTGCTAACTGAATAATGTGCTGGTGGGGTGGTTTTGTTTTGTTTTGTTTTTTAACTGAGTCTTGTAGAACTGAAAGAGCTGAAATATAAATGAATCTGTAAATAAGAGGCTGTATATATGTTGACAGGTACCAAATGATTATAATAGTTATGTTTTCACAAATACACATCATTAGAGAATTTCTTTTTACTGTATCAATTATTTGTTACTGCAGTTGACAACTTCTCATTGTTTCTTGTGCTGCATAAGCAATACCATTGTTTCAAGGCTGTGTATAATGAATGTGGGCCATTACTCTTCACGTTCTGAACTTTAGTAACTTTTACTATTGAAGGGATGTTATAAAGACTGTAAGTTTATCTTTTTATGTAGCATGTGGTACAGGAGGTTCAACAAGAAAGGCTAGAAGATAAGGTGAAGGAGATGGCTGAAGAAATTCAACAGGAGAAAGAAGAGCTCTCACATCTGTCAGAGGAGCAGTTAGCTGACCAAACACCAATTACTTCTGGAGACGAGACAAAAATAACTGAAGAATTGGAACCAGAAGGTAGAATTCATTTTTATGAATAAGTAACTGTGTTTTCTTAATAATTCTATGTCTCTTTCCATTTTCTTAAGCATTTCTTACTAGCAGTAGGAGCTGCCTCATTATGAGAAGCTTCATGACAGAAATTATATTCTGGTGTACTTTATAGCTGAAGCTGGGTGGTGGATATGGTGGTGTTATTTTCTTCCCAAATGGAAACTGTATTGTAATTGAATGCAAAAATCTGGTATCTGACCTAGATTCATAAAATATTAAAGGAAACCTGGCTTCTATTTTAAATGTCTTTATATTCTCCCTTAGAACTATGCTGTTCTAAAGACTATTTTAATGAATGTGCTCCTTTTGTCTGCAGATAACAGCCAATGCTGATATCAGAAATCCTTTCAGACAGTGAGAGGGGTAGTATGTCTTATCATATTTGTGACATAAAGTTGTTAGAGGCAGATTTATTTAAAGATTATAAGAGCTGGGTCATCCTGTTCCACCTCTGAGCTTAGACTGTTTATCATTGAAATAAACCAAGTCCACAATACCAAGTAAATGCACAACCAGAATGCTAAAATTTTATGTTCATTTGCTTGCAGCTTCTGCATAAGAATTCATTAGAAAAATTGGGAAAACATGATGCTGAATCCCTGTTGTGCTAAGTAATTTGCTTCAGAGAAAAAACCTTGAATGCTCTAGAAAATAATCCAGCTGCATACAGAACTACTTTTTTATTTAAAAAAAGGATACATTCTTCTCTACATGTGCATGGTGTTAAACATAATCAGAGGAAATCCAGAAATTCAGGCCATGTTCTTATGTAAAACTAACAGTTGTTCATACCTCATCTCATCACAGGACTTACATCATTCCAATCCTTAACTTTCATCTGGGAAAAATTTTTTTTTTTTTTAAACAGAAAAAAATACAGTTTAGATGACTCAAAAGGTCATTGATTTGCAGTGTTAATCTTCTGCAGGAAGATAAGATTTACCTGGCACTTATTCTTCATTTATTAGAAAAGCAAATATATTGTTATCAGATTCCTCAGCAGGCTCAGATGGACTACAATATGGGGGAGGTTGATTACATTGATTCTTTTAATGTTTCTTTTTCAGATCAAGATGGTAGACAAGATGAGGATGCTGTTGAATCAATAAAAACTGACAGCAATGATGGTATTATTTCAAGTCCAGATCCACAAATATTAAACAGCTAAATCAGTGATCATGGCAATTATTTGACAAGACAAAAAGATTTTAAGCTGAAATGTCCTCTAATAATAGGTTTGCTATATCTAACATCACTTTTCAATAAAGTTGTACATGTACAGTATCCAGTCACTTCAGTTGTACTTCTTTTTCTATCATTATTTGTGAACCAGTACACCAATGATGTCCCCTTACTCTTAAAACCAGTAATTAATTAGCATGAAGTCACATATACAAAATAACACAGCATAATACAAATTTGGAAAAATTTACTTTGAACAGTATTTCCAAAAAAAAAGAAAGTATTTCCTACTTTTAGATCTAACATCGACTGAACTATCTTAAAAAATACGAAACTAGTACTTAAAATTGATGTTAGTACCTCTAACAGTTAATACTTTTGTCATCTGTCTTAGCCTTCTTTTAAAGGACTAGAGGTGTACTGTGAGATCCTATCAGTCTTCACGGTTTTTAGTGCTCTGCAATGTGATATCCTAGAGGTAGTTTGACTTTTTAAAATTTTTTTTTCAAGGCGTGAGACATCTTACAAAGCAAGTAACAACAAGAAGCAACTCTTTGTACGGGAAATATTGCTCCTTCTTTTTTAAGCTGTAGAAGGGATTCAGTAATGCTATCGCCTGTATATTCTTCAGAAAGATACAAAAGGTACTTTTGAAGAAAGAATTACGTTGTATAAAATATTTTCACCTGTAATTCTGAGAACTAATCATTTACAATGACTGCTGCTCATCACTAGTAAGTCAAACACTTGTTCTATACTTTTGTAGTCATCCTGTATTTTATTTTATCACAGTTATTTAAGAACACTTCTGAGAGATTTTTGTGTGTAGATTCATTTCAGGTTCATCAGTTTCTACCTCTCTCCATTGATCTCTTCCTCTGGTAACAAAGTGCATGTTCACAAAGGGTAGATAAAACAATAAAAGCTATAAACTATTAAGACAACATGTTTGATACAAATTGGATTTTCAAAATATGCCTTGGTTTATTTAAATTCTTGGGTTAATTCTAGAATACAGCATGTCAAAATTGTTATTGAATTTGTATTTTTTTAAGATTAAAAATCACTGCCTTTTATCTTTTGAGATAAATATCCTGCTGGTAATCAAACACTGTAAATAAGACTTGTGATTTTTAGAGATCGTTATGCTAATTATCCTATAAATCTGAGTTGTATGCCAAACTGTTTAAGCCATTTAAGATCATACTGGGGGTTTTTTGCATGTTGCAAATTAGACAGTTCATGGTTATTTCTTAGATATGTTGATCATAAAGGGTATCTAACAGATTTTCCAGTACTTAGCTGTACCACTTGCTTCTTTCTCTTTTCTTCTTGTCTATGATGTATGATTAATCATAGATTACTTCATTTTGTTTCATTTCATTTACAACATTTATGAGCTTCACTTTGTCGGTATGAAATGCTTGTCCCCTTCTTTCCTTTCCAAAGTGGCATAATTAGTGTTAGCATCTTTTTTAACAGGCTACATAAAGTTTAGTGGCTGGATTAAATCAAGTCATTAACATAATGTGCTATACAATTTGCCCCTATCTCTTTTCGTTTCCAGTACATCAAAGTGCCACAGAGTGCCAGTGTAATTGGGCCTTGCTAGCTTGTCAGGTTCAGTCAGGCTGATGGCTGCTGCTTTTACTAAAAAGCTTCCAGGCATGATAATTAATAGAGAAAAGAAGTCTGAGAAATGTAAAAGTTTGGACAGTTCTCTATGAATATTTCATACATTTGAATAATCAGAAGTTAACATTATCAATTTGATGTATAATACATTGATTAAAAGCCTTGTTTCAGATCCTCAAAATAGACATCAAAACTGGGAATTTGCATTTTCTTTGGCATGGTCTTTATATTAAAAAAAAAAAATAATTTAAAAAAAAGTCTTTTCCATCCCCTCCTCCCTTTCACCCCCATGTCTACACTGTATCCTTACAGGAGATTATACAGCATTCAGTTATCACAATAAAATTTACTGCTGTCAGCTTCCAAGTTGTCTTAAAATGTGCCATGAGGTAATTACTGGCAAGACCAATTTATTCAGAGCTGGTTCTGTTATTTTCTATAGGTCTCTCTTTTTCGGTGCAGCTACTGTGAGTGCATTCTGTTGCTCTAACAGCAGTTTTTTGATAACTGTCATTTACTTCTAACTGTAAGTTAAGATCTCAAGTTCTAATTAGTTTTGACATGAAAATCCCTCTTAAACACCATTAAAGAACAATACCAATTGCCCATGATTCTCTTGGTGAGTGAAGCCTGTTTGTGCAATTATGAGATGTAAAGTATAAAACCTATGTATAGCAAAGCAATAGATACTTTTTATTATGTTTTTTTGTATGACTGCTTGACTAGTGCATTTCCTCCTATGTGATATCTCTGTTCATTGGAAAAAAGAAAACTATTTGGACATTGTATTGCAGTTTTAAATTTTGGCTGACTTGATTTCTCTTTACACTAATTTTCTGCAGGACTTGAGTGCCTTTAGTGTGCTTCAGGGAGATTTTTGAGTGTTCAATATTTTCCTCAAACTGGCTTGTTTTGTGAATATCCAATCAGAATTTAGAGAACTAAAATTTTAGAGTTTTAGTATTACCTTGTGTTACTGAGTTGACTTGATTCTGCTGTACCAGAAATACTAATCCTTTGTATCCTCCTAGTCCTATCTAAAACCAGTTGCTTTGTGCTTTTCTTCTGTAAGAAACTGGGGAAGTAAAAGTGCTCCACCAGCATATTTAATAAAACAAGAAATAAAATTCATTAAACAGAACCATCTTATCAGAATAAGATACAAGTAACTTATTAAAACTTTATAGTCAGTACTTTCAAGGAGTACTAGTGGGTCTAAGATTAAAAAGGAGCATTTGCCATTCTCCATCACTGAGGTGATTGATTGTGTTATGGTCACTATAGTCCAGGAACTAAAGTAAAGGAGAGAAAGTTTAAAGAATCCAGGCAATACCTAAGTTGTCTTTTGCCACTGATAAAGTTTGAAATGACAGAAGTTTGAGTAGGCACTGTGCAGAAATGATGGATTTACAACTTCCATCTACCCCTTGTCAAATATACTTTGAAGTTGTAATTGGAAGCATGTACTGAAAGTCATTCTTCATGATGGCAGAAATGGAATAAAAGGGTGAAGTAATACCAAAAAACCCAAACAACCACTTTTAAAATGATTGAAAACTACAGAATCTTAAGTCATTAGGTGACCCATTATTTTTTAGGTAACAAATAATACTATTTAGTTAGAATATGAAATTAAGAAGAAAGTCAGATTTAAGGCTGAATGCATAAGCCCACAGGAAAAGCATCAGCAAGAGTCATTTTTAACCCCACTGGTAATTTTTTTGTGGTTATGAATAAGAATGATCCTCAGCTGCTTACTGGAGATACTGTTTGTCAGAGCCTATGGACATGGTAGTAGGTTATGGTGACTTTACAAATGGAAAGGAGTATTTTTCTGACTGGAAACTTAAAAATCAAAGGATAGCATTTGAAACTAAATTTTAATTTTGATTAGTTGTGTTGTCTATATCACCAAGCATAATTTTTTCACACTGAATATTATGAGAATCAAATTCTATTAATTTTTTAATGTCTATATGGTCCCCACACAATACTGTAATGGCAAGGGGGGATACATTATCAAATATTAAATAATAAAACTGTAAATAAAAAAACCTAGTTATATTAAAAATGTGCAATTTGATATATTTCTTCCACTACAGCTGCACTCAAAAAATGAGGAATTTGGACTCTGCACTGGATAAAATGGCAGCAACCAGAGTTGTATTCATTGTCACAAACAGATTTTTTTAGTTCAGTGTGTTCTCAGTTCTGGACAGAGCTGAGGGGATTGCATCAAACCTAATTATGGTGCTGACCTTGGACCACTGTGTTCTCCTCCTGGCACGTGGCAGAACAGTGGTGCAGGGGAACATGACATGTGCCTTTCCCTCCTTCACAGCAGATTCACCTCCAGAAGAGCTGTTCAACAAGGAGACATCTCTTTGCCCCAGGTCTTAGGGAGAGTCCAAAGTGGATGCACTGTAGGAAGTCCCATCCACTTGGAGAAGGAACAGGGAGCATTTCCACATCCCTCTTTCTGTTCTCACATCCACACCATTGTGGGGAAAAGGTAAAAGTAGAAGATGTTGTTCCTAACATGAAAAGTCACTGCATACAGAACTAGAATAATTTTTTGTAGTATGTATTTTTATGTGTATATGATTCTGTGTTGCCTGTTAATCATAATTACTTAATGAGTAATGTTTGTGTCTCTGAACACTCGAGTTACATTGACATTCCTGTAATAGCATTCATTTGTGGTTCTGTTCTGACATTGTTAATAAGATGATCACAAGAATTTAGCACTTGATAGAGGAAGAGGATGGCTTGTCATTCAATAAATATATTTGTCAATCAAGTAATATTGATAGTGATTGAAGTATTGATAGTAAGTGGATGAATAATTGTGATTATTGGAGAAGAGCTTGTAGTTTATCTTATGTGCTCTCCACATGAAATAGAAGAAAACAAGTGGAAATAAATATATAAAATGTTAAGGAGTAAAGTGTACATATTTTTGAGCATTTTTAAATACAGGATTCAAGTTGGTCTTACAATTTAGAAGTTCCCTTTATTTTGAGTTTTTCAAGGGCCATATATTAGTTACAACTGTGGATGTAAAAAATAGGAACATTGTTCCTATAAGCAAGGTATTTTCAGCTCTGCTGTTCTGTGCAGAAAGCACTTATTTCTGTGGGATGCTATTGTGTACCATTTGAGTCAGCTGGAATCTTATTTTTCACATCAAAGTCGTAGCCTTTTAGTGTGACCAAAAAGGAAATGAAAATATGGAATATTCAGCTTCTTGAAGGTGGCAGTCAAGACTGACTGTGGAATTAATAAAAGGGTTTCTTAATCTCAGACAGATGAGAAAAGTTGAGATGTAAATTTTGTACGAAATGTCCAATGTGTTTAGTGCTTACCCAGATCCTGAAGCTTGTTGGAGTTCAAATCTCTGGGTAGTACTAATTACAGAGTTGGTATTAAAAGGTAGAGAAAGAATTCTGACATAGACTAAGTATCTTGCCCATGTTTTGTTTCCCTCACCTGAAATGAAAGCACTGAACCAGTTTCTCAGATTCTTTGAAAGCATTTAATAGTCTTTAGTTTAATATGTGGCCATTCTCTCTCTTTGAGGAAATTTTGTATTATATCTTGTTTTAAATTCTAAATGTAAAGAATAATTTTATTCCCATTAAAATAGAATGATTTGTGGGCAGTAATTGACAAATTCCCCATTGTTCACTTGAATAGTACCTAATAAATGAGACCAGGGCTTAAAAAAAAAACTTAGGAAAAGATTTAAATAACATATTTCACTCTGCATCACAGAAAAATAAATAGTTGCTTAAAAATTAATTCCTATCATATGTTGGATACTGTATGTATTTTCAGCCTGGCTACATAATATGAGTGGGTTTGTATTAGTGGTGAAATATGACATGCTAGCTATGCTGTTCTTCGGCAGTTCTATATTTTTTATTTGTAAATACCTTTTTTAATCAGCCTGTGTTCTCCTTTGTATGTGCTGTATTCATGTTTAACATTAATAAAACTCAAAACAGTCTTGACTGTTAAGCTCCAAATTAATTTTTTTTCTTGCAATTTTCTAATAGTATGACTCAGTTATTTGCTTCGTGATAAGTTAGAAAGAAGAATACCTGGATTTACCCCATTAGCCTTGAAAAAGTGTAATATTCTTTGCCTACTGTATGCAATTACAAGTGTTAAATATGTCAAACAAATCTTAAAATATGTAAAAGGAATACTTTATAATGCAGGATATTGTATTTGGACTTGATTCATAAGCTACTGTCTGTGTACAAACTAGTCTGACATAGCTGCTAAATACTTTGGGGCGAACAAAACCACTCAGCATATCCCTTTAAATACAGATGCTAATACATCTGTTCAGTGCAAGAAGAAAAGAGTTGTTTCTGAAGTAAAATTAGACAATAGAGCCAATTTCATTTTTTATGCATGTGAATGTAGAGTGCTTGAGGTTATTAGTTGAAACTGAGTAACCTTTCCAGGCTTTCATCTCTTTCTTTTCAAATTTGAATATGAAAAGCATATTCAAGTCAGAGACCATCACTTTAATGACATTTGGCAGTCATTTGATTTATTAGATTTTAGAAAAAAAAATTCCTTTAAATATTTCATCATTCTATGCTAATCCCAGTAATATTGCCAGCTGAAGCCATGTACCTGTATTAGTGGAGACAGAATGGTGTGGAATTTTTTCTGTCATCCTAGTAAAATTTCCATGAATCTACTGAATAATAAAACAACCTTATTGAAATATTCAGATTTGGGTTTTTAGTTAAAGTGTCTTAGGATACATAATAAAAGGAAATGTCTTTTGAAAAGAGGGGGTAAAATTACTTCATCAAATATTGAAAGGACTTGACAGCAATGGAAATTGTTCTATATGATGGATATTTTTACAATAGGATACACCTCCTTTTCAGTTTGATTAATTATGTAATTTGCTTGGAAAAATGTAAGCTATCTCCATAATAAATTAGAATATTGACTTGCAGTTCAAACACTGAATCTAGAAAGCTAATCTTCTGAATGTGATTTAGTACTTCAAGTGATTTAAGTTTACAATCAAAAATTGTCAAAATATTTCCACATAGGGGAAATATTTTTAATAAAGTTATGAGCTTGAAAAGAAATGAAAGAAGTAAAAAAAAATATTTTTGACATTTCTGTACTCCAGCATATTCTGTTTGCTCTTTGAAGAATGTCATCTTTCAGTGCTCCAATTTGGAACCCATAGTGGCTTTTCTTTCTTCAAATTGCAGTTACCTAAGGAAATACTTGTGACTCTTTCTGTTGAGTCTGACATTCACACTTAAATACATAAAGCTGATTACAATTTATCTGTACACAATACTACTGACCTTGCCAAACACAATGAAACAATTTTACAAGGAAGAAAAAAATGTGAATTTGGTTAAAGATAACAAGAAAAGGCTCTGGTGAAGAACAATTGGGGTATTACTTTTATTATCCTATTGCTAATTTTAACTTTTAAAGGTATGTTTGATTTAAGTAGGCAAGTTCAGTGTATGAATTTCAATTCCGTGTAGATACAGTGTTACTTTACATGCCTAGATATTTTGTGACTTGATGGATTTTTATTCAACTGTTCGTGATATAATCTGCAAGAGGCACTAACAATTCTCCTTCATTTGGAAAACTTTGGTACCTGATGTCACTGAAACTATTTCAAACAGTTACAGGATCACTTTGCTGTGTAGCTAAAAATAATGGCAACTAAAATTAGTGGTTCAGATAGCATTTGTACATAAGGATAACTTTAACCTAATCTTCCCAAGAAGTCTATGACTAACGCAAAAATATTTTAAACACTGAATGTGTATCAGTAGCTGTTGCACCAATATTCTTAAATTGCAAATCCTGGGGCTTTACATTCTCATTGTGCCTATGTCAAAATCAATCAATCAGTGTTAATTGTGCAAAGCAGCCCATGACTTATGGGGATGTAGGTTTGTTTTGTGTTAACACTTCAAGAAACACAAAATAATTTGTATTATGTTAGTGTTCAGTTTTTAAATAGGAAGTTGAAAAGATCTGGACTAAAATTACATCACTTGGTCCTACTGAGTTACGAATTACTTCAGATGAAACAATCCAGCAGCTGTGTGTTGAATGCAGATGAAATTATTTCCTTGCAGAGGACACCCCACTGTCACTTCCCAAACCAACAGGTGGTCAGAGGAGTCACTGTAAGTGTAGCACTGGTGAGTGGGATGTACTCCTGAGCAGGCATGTTTCTTCTCTTAAGTTCTGTCTTATGAAAATACCTGCAATAAAGCCTATTTCCTGTACATTATATTTGCATTTATCTGTGTACTATTCGTCTTTTTTCCAGATATTTTGGGAAATATTAGTAGTGGTTTTTAAGAAATGAGGTAAGGATGCAGTTGTTAACTATGAAATGGAATACTGAAGTAGGCTTGTGGAAGAAATGGTAGCATTACAATAAATTTAAATATGCTGGGAGCACATACATTTTAAAATTAGGCTATACATAAATATATGTATTCTTTTTAAAAGCATCATGAACTGATTTTTCTGTTGGTGCATGATGATACAGCAAAAGAAAAACATCAACCATATACAACTAAAATACATTTGGAAAGAGAAAATTTGTAATTGGACTCGATCACCACTTGCGAATACTCAGTGTTCCTCTAATCAGTTTTTAAAATGGGAAGTTATTCATCCATATTTAATACTAATACATTGCTCTTTACTTCATTATACTTAATCCTGCATGTTGCACATGCTAGTCTCAAATGAACATTTGAGGTAGTTTATGTCAATATACAATTATATATTATAGTATACATAGAATTATTCTAGTAATTGATAATTCTGTTGTTAAATATTTTCCCTGCTCTTTCATAGTATTTCAATTATTGACTAACTTTTTTTTCTGTTAAAGTCTGTTTCATTTAAGATTCAGTCTAAGTGCTTCAAGTTGTCTTGGACTTTTATCTGAGAGTATCCTGGAGCAGGTGAATCAGTTTGCTATTTGTGACAAACCATTCCACAGACCTTCAATTTAAACATTCTTTTAAAAATAATTTTGTAAAAGCGGCTTTGCAAAAGTGGAGTCACAGTCAGATCTTTAAAATTGGTACCATCTACAAACCTGATTTTAGAATGTGACTTGCCAAAGAATTCACTTGTTTAGATCCTCTTAATACTTATAAACTATTGGATTATCCTGTAATTGAAGACTCAAATCCCTCCTAGACAATGATCATCAACTGTTGCTGTAATGAGACTGCCCATTTGAGAGGGACAGTAGAGGACAGGGCACAATTGTTAATTTTTGTGAGTCTGAGGATGGTGATCTTTGTAAGGCTTTAGAGAAGAAAAACAAAACCACAAAAACTAATAGTGCTGCAATGTCTTTCATTTGCTGAGGCTGCTCCCATTCCAACAAATGGGATTTGTGGCATCAGTTACTAAATAACAGATTACATAAATAATAACTTTTTATGAGCTGAACAATATTCATCTTGCTAGCTTCTGTAAACACTTCTGAAAGTTGTAGGTAGGCAGACATAACTGAAATAATTGTATTAAAACATCATTGAAATAATAACATAAGCCAATAAAAGCTTTTTAACAGTTTTGATTTCTCTTGCATCTTGAATTCTCATTGCTTTGATTATAATAAGCCTTCAGAAGATATAAAATTCTTACACAGTATTCTGATTTCTAGGTATGGTGCAAGCACAGAATTAGTTTCCTACGTATTTACTCTGCAAAGTTAAACTAGCAAAATACAGCAAAGTTATGATGAATAGAGAATAAAATTTCAGACTTTTAAGACAATTACGAAACTTCAATACATTTCAAGCTGTGAAATTTGAAAGTAGTGTTGTGCTATTGTATTGTAGAGACTGTGATTCATAAGGCTTTCCAATCTAGTAGTGCTATATTGTGTTATTTCTGTTAGTCATAACCTGGCTTCATAACTTTGATTTTTCTATTTGCTGCTTCAGTATCAATTGTAGAACTGTTTAAAATATTAAAAATATAAACTGTTTATAATATAAACTGTTTAAAATATTAAAAATATAAACTGTTTAAAATATTAAAATATATTAACTTCCAAATATCCTAACAAATCAGTATCAAAAGGTGTTTTTTGCTCTTAATTGCTTCAGGATTGTATTCTGCGGCACAATACTAATATGGTTGTTATTTGCAGAGGTTTGCTTAGGTGATTGGTCATCTAATTTCTACTCAAGATTAGCTTTACATACAGGGGAGAAAAAACTTAATGAGTCTGCTTTTTGATAAAGCCAGTTGAGAAGCCAGTAAGATAATAGTAATGAAATCTGCATGTGTGTTTACTATGGCTTTGCTGCATCTCTTGTTCATGTCTAATTAGATTTGAGTATGCTGAATATTTGAGGTTAATTGAATATTTTCTTTAATAAAAATGAGATTTGCATGGGTGGAAAGAAATTTACTTTGAGCCTAGAAGGAACCTAATAGTCTTTTAGATTTCTGCATGGAGAAAATCAGGGTAAGTCCCTAAGTAATCTTAAAAAATCAGTAATTCTTATAATAAAAAGGCATTTTATATTATCTATAACTGGAACAGCTTGACTGTTTTAAAATCATCTTAACTGATACAGAGGGCTCTGTGAGATTCACTGCTTAAAAAACATTTGAAGGTTTTCCATACCTTTTGTGCGTCCTTTGCTGTCATCACCTGACATGTGGGATATCAGAAGACAAACAAAATCTTGTTGCAAAATAATACAGTGGAGCTCCATTGATCTGGACATACGTGATCCCACGAATTTCCATTTTCACTGCTGGTTCAAGCATGTAACGTGATATAAATTGGGGGTTTTCGACCGTGACTTTTTCACTACAGATGCTTAGAAGATCTTTGTTTTTTCTTTCAAGGTCTTGGAACAGCAACTTGACTCAGGAAGTTTATACACTGTAGGATTGCAATGCATACCCCTTGATTTCCCATGACATTGTTTTATCTACTGCTGACCAATACTGACTGAGGAGCTGTGTGTTTGTTAGCAGTGGAAAGAGTTATTGGAATATCCAAGAAAGCTTCCAAACACTACAGTCTCATAAACTCAAAGAAAAGTGGAACTTGCCAAATTGTGCTCATACCATGACTCTGTCTTTATATTTGGTGAACAGAAAGGATTCTGATTTTTTTGGTGGGATTTGTTTTGGTACATACAACATTGTGTTGATGTTGGGTGGAGTTACTGATCACAGTAAGCAATTAACTGATATTTAAACTTTTCAATTCAGTTTAAAATTGTGTGCCAGAATTTTTCCAGTCATGCCACCATATATTCTTTAAAGTAATGGCAGTTTCACAGTCAGAAAAACATAAGGAAACATGTTAGTCCAAGCAAACAAAGCCCAGTTTCCCACACATATAAATGCATCTGTTGATGTTTGACTGTTAGTTTCAGTAAAAGAAACATTTTTCTTGTCAGGACCAAGATTAATTAAATGATGAAGCTATGGTTAGTTAACAAATGCTGTTAATAAAAAACATTCTTATTTTATTAAATAACGAGACTTAAATGTGAAAATGCTGAGATGGCAAGAAAATTACTAGAAAGCAAGGCTGATAGAAGGTTGAAGTGTGTTCTTATCACTGTATACAGTAGTTCTAGAGAACAGGCAATGGAAGTAGAAGAAAGATTTATGAAATGCTGCAAAGAATTTATTTGAAATTTAATTGGAAAGCTTTCTTTTCTCGAAAACTTTTCTCTCTTAAGTGAATGGGTGGCTTTTTGAACAATTGAAGTGCAAGTGTAAGTAGACCAAAAGAACACGAGGTGGGGGAAAGATGATGGAGTATATTTTTTATTAAAAATAAACTTCTGAAGATCCCTATTCTGAAAGGTGGATTCCTCAGTATAACTCAAATGTTAAGGCTTTGCATCAGAAGACATTGTTACATTTCTGTGTGTTTATTCCTTTTCTCCATTAAAGATCCACACTGTGAAGCAGTTTTTCTTCACTGTGATAAAACTCTGCTTCATCTGTTTTTTAGAATGTGAACTATGAAAAAATGCGCTATAACAGAACAGCTGTGTTAATGTTTTGAATTGCAAAGATTTCTGACAAGCTTCCAGGGTCACTGTAATCTTCACCTTTTAGTACTTCTTTAGGAGTAACTTTAAAATTATAATCTTAGATGCAAACTGTTACAAGTTAATTTTGAATTATTTTTGCAATTAATTGGATAGAAACACGAGGTGTTCCATGCCTTGGAGCAATGTTGTGGTTCTAAGTTCAGGCAGTACCGTGGGGTGATATGAAAGCATGTTATTCATCAAGATCTAAAAATGTATTTTCACTATAGTTAATCATTTTCCCCAGACTTGAATGGAGTTCTTGTGCTGAATGTTTTACTTTCCAGTCTGAATTTTTCCATTGAGTGAAATGAATTTGAACTCTTTGGATTTGTAAATAATTTTCATTTTAAATTGTTTTAGATACAGAATTAGTAAATTGAGGAAATTCCATTTGGGATGCTTATGGGAAAGGGAAGAATCTGTTGATGTGGCATTTCCTTTGAAGTTCTCTGGCTGTCCATGTGTCTCCCTGCTGCCTCCCCATCACTTCCTGTGGTGGCCCCAGGAGCACTTGGCCATGAGAGCAGCACATGTGGAAAGTCATCCACATGTCCAAAAGAATAGCAGATCACAATAACAGCTTCTTTTAACCTAGGAAAGTAAGAAATCGTGAGGTGGAAACTAAGGATTCAAAGGTAAAACACCAATGCTTTGCTTTCTGTTAGTAGAGAAATGGTGGCAAATTTCAGATTCCTTGGACTGAACGACTCAGCAACTGGACTGGCTGTTTTCTGATAGTAACCCGTTCCTAGGAGCAGTTCTGCTGGCCAAGGAAGAGCTGAGGAGCAGCTTTGGAGAAAACTGGAAAAGCAATAACTCTGAAAAGTGTGCTTCCTAGGACTTCAATAGAGATGTGTCCTTCAGTAAATCCCTCTGCAAGGAGTTTAGGCCTTCTTGTCTCTGCTCATGCTGCTGCATTCCAATACTCAGCTCCTTGGTAGAATTGGTACTTTCTTTTTATACAAGTAAGTTTATTTTGGACAGTGAAATACATTAAAGATTTCTGTCAGTGCACAGCAAAAGGAAACCTTAATGTGATGTGGAGAGTGAAAAAGATCTCTTATGAGTATAATGAGAAGTAACTATTAGAAATGCTGGAATGTAATGACAGACAAATTTCTAACTCCACCTCCTCCCCTCAAAAACAAATGACAACAAATGATTCTTAGAGGGTTATATCAATTTTAGTTTTGTCCTATCAAAACTTTTTCAGTTGCATTTCTTTCTTTTAAAAAAAAATTAAAATGAATTCAATACTATTTCAATTTTTATACTCTTTCACAGTAGTGTATTGATACTTGCAGACTGATACCATTTACAAGAAATCTGCTGCTTTCTTAATATAAGATGCCCCAAAACTTATTGAAGAATTTCTTAAAACCATGTTTCTCATTCTTTTAATGTGTTTTCCAAACCAAGGCTAACTTTCACTGTAGGTCATATTAATAGTCCAAAAATTAAAAGCTGATCCTTGCGTTTGTATTTTAAATTAAAACAGTGAGAGGCTTTCAGAGCACTCTCACACACTCCCCAGGCTGTGGATTTTCTCCAGTCCATTGGTCTAGAGGTTTCTCTTACTGAAATACTGTGGCAGGAAAGGGAGATTAAATTACTGAGGCTGTCAAAAAGGACAAGCACTCTGCCATACATTATCATTATCACTGGCTTCCTCAGTGGAAGAAAATGCAGTAAATCACTTCAAATACAAAGCAATAAAGACCACTGGCTTTTAAAATCATGACTGCTATTGCCATGAACAGAAAGTGACAGCTGTGTGGCATGCTTAGATGCTGCTTGTATCTTTTTTGACAGTGTGCACATAGACCTGCCAGTGACACACCGTTAGATCACATGACCTTTCAAATTCGATTCGAACATTGCTGCTTCTCCTCAGAAAAAAGAAAGAAATGTTTATTTTTCCTTTGTTCTTTTCCTCATGTTCTTTCTTCTAAAAGGTGAAAAACAGTTGATACTGATATTAATTCTGATTTGCGTTGCAGCGATATATGTGGCTGAGGCAGATAATTGTGCAGAAAAAGAGTATCTCAAGCCTGTTCTTCTAAAGCCAGAGCTACACACTGACAGGTACATGTTAGTGCTGAAAAACTCTATTATAGGTCTTTGTAAATAATGATTGTGGTTTGCCTTGTTGTTTGTCTCTGCTGAGGAGGTATCCCTGAGAAGTTAATACCTACCTAAGTAACTAAGTAGAAAAAAATTTGTTTCCACTAGGAATGATACCTGCATTCTGATCTTATTTCTTCCCTGAGTAGGTTCATGTGGCATGGAAGATTGCAGCCTCACTTAATGTTGGTTTAGTGCTGTGGTTTGGGTTTTGGTTTGGGAGTTTGTTTGTTTGCTTCTTTTGCTTTTAACAATTTTATTTTGCAAAAGAGAGATTCTGTCATCAGCATTCTATCACTAATGAACTTGAAAAGTGCGTTTCTACACCATGTAGTTTAGTACATTCATTGCTTTCTGAATTCAGAGTACTACAAGGAGTCTTAAGAGCTGCAGAAAGTGTTCCTTGGCCCTAGAATTTCCAAAAACATATATATATATATATATATATATACAGATGTAGTTTTTATATTAATACATATGGGAGAGGGTATAAATTAGTCTTGTCCAGTTTCATTATAATAAAAAAATTTTTCTTATTCTAATTTTTTTATTGCAATAGCATTTGTGCTTTGACAGAATGAATGACATCGTTTGAACCTGTTTTCTCTTAAAGGTCAATCTTCATTAGAATGGAATAATTATTAAATTAAAGATTGATTTAATTCTCAGGAGAGCAGGATACCTGCTGACTGTATTTGAAGTGCTGGAGTTACTTGTAAATCTTTAAAATATGTGTTTATCCACAAATCCCTGATTCACTCTGCAGTAAGAAAGAGAGTGATCTCTCTTCATTTCATTTCCGTTCTATATCTGAGATTCATGTTTTGGCCAGAAAACAGGTTTTACTGGAATGGAGCAGGGAACACCATGAAATGATTACTTTTTGGGATGGAAATATCATACCAAAACATTCTTAGGTTTGGAGATTTAAAAAAAAAAAATTAAAATCATTTAATAAGCAAGGAGAAGACTTACTTTACCATGTAGATTAGGAAAGTGGGTAACATTCTACTGAAACACGTTCTGCTGAGATTAGAGAGTATTGAGAATAAAATACTCTTTTTCTTTTTTCTTTTTTTTTGTGGTTCATGAGGGATAATTCAGCAAATAGCTAGTCTGTGTGCTGCAATTTCTCCTATAAATACTTAGATATCTGTATTAAATATTTTAGAAACCTGAGGTAAAAAGAAGGTAAAATAAGAGCAGTAAGCTTTTTCACTGACCAGACACATTCACCTTCTACCTGTGCCATCGTGGTCCTGTCCTCTGTGTTACCAGGTAAATTGTTTTCTGCAGTTATTGGTGTGTCTGGCTTGGCCTGTGGTGATATTTCAATTCTGTCATGACTAAACAGGAACACAGGAATTTCATCAGTAGTCCAGTTCCCCACTTTATCCTAGCAAGGACCACCAAGAAACAAAATTTATGAAAAGATTCTGCCCGTACACCAAAAGTTTCCAACTCTATGTATTTTAAACCTGGCCTAGTTGTATCACCATGTGTTTTCTATCACAAGCTTTACAAACTAGTATCAGAGTTTTTTCAGCTGAAACAGGAACTCAACTAAACTAATGCTTTAAAGCTCAGGAAACCAAATTATCAAGGATATAAATATCACTGAAAATTGCCTGCAGATGGTTGAGCCTGACACTTTATTAGTGTTTGTGCTATGCCAGATTATAGAGCATAGACAGTGTATTATGTATATTAGGTTGTGTATTAATTTATTTTTTTTCCTGTCACAAAGAATGTTGTTAGAAACAATACTCATAATGATTGGATCCGTACTGGAAAATAAATAAATAGATTCATCACATGCTGGTTTTGTCTTCCAAAAGCAGAGTCACTTTAATGAATCTCTCTTGAAAAAGATAAATATTCTCAAGTGTTAAAAGATACATTAATATAATAAACAAAATTACTGCTGAGGCAAAATTACTGCTAAGCCAAAGTTGCAACTATAGCCTAGTTCTATAGTTGAAACAGAGCCTGAAAACAGTGCATTTCACAGCTTTGTACTCTTTTAGTTTATACTTGCAAGTAAATAAATATAGATTGACATGGCATTTATACAGGAAAGTATATTTATTTTATAGAATCCTAAAACCATTTAGGTTGGAGAACTTTAGAGTCACCAAGTCCAACCGATACCCCAGCACTGCCACTTCCACCACTAATCCACGTCCCCAAGTGCCTCCAGAGGACTTGAAATACCTCCAGGGTTGATGGCTCCACCAGTTCCCTGAGCAGCCCATTCCAGAGCTTGACAACTATTTCAGTAACTAATTTTTTTTCTAATATCTGGTCTGAAATTTGGTGGAAGTGGAGTTTACTGTTCATTTAAAGATAAGATTTCAAAACAAAGTTGATTTTTCTCTTCTTTCAGTTCTTGATATGGAATCATTTTAAGTGTTTATTAGAAATGTTGACTTTGGTTCCATATTTGAACAAATAGTGGCAGAAAATGCAAGAATATTCAGTGTAAAAAATCAAGAAAAAATGCTGTTAAATGGAATTATGTAAAATATATGAGCATAGTTCTTTTGACAAGCATCTTTATGCTTTCAGTCAGTCGTTGTCTCTATCATTATTAGGGAGATTTTGTCATAACACTGGCTTTTTCTTATAGCTCTAATGTATGACACAGGAAGCCTTTTTGGTTTGTTTCTTTTTCTGTATAATAGAGATTCAAGTTCTTTATCTATTTTAGGAAGCTATACTTGCTAATATTTGTAAAAACTTTGTGGAAAAAAAAGACACAACATTGTTATTTCAGCATCTGAACCCCGTCATTACGTGTTCAAGTCTTTAAATCAGTTAAAAGGACACATTTCTGGCAGTCCATTTAACTTTCTGTAACTGTGTCATAGTTATTTTTTATTCTTCCACTGTTGTTCTTTCAGCATTTTAAGAGTGTAGAAATTTTGGTCATGTAGAGGAAGTTGCCTGATTTCTCATGCCAGACTGTACTTGAAATGCTTGCAGACCTGGAGGTAGAGTGTGTGCTCTTCTGACAAGTGTCAGGAGAGACATATGTGAGGAGTGGAGGAATCCGTGTGTCTAACAGTCACCCTGCTGTGATAACAAGAGTGAACAGGTTTATGCAAGAGGTTTCCAGGCTGATCCTGACAGGTGCATCATTTCTTGGTGGGAAATGATTGTTATTCCAAGAAACAGACTATATGAAGTCATTGTTCTCCAAAGAAAATCTATGCATCCATGTTACAGGGGAGCAGAGCATGTGTACAGTTGTTAGCTTCACATTAATTTGCAACATCAACACACAAAGTTTTCTCCTTCCTGCTCGAAAATGACTGATCTGTGAAATAAAAAAAATTAGAATCAGATTTGCCTACATAAGAACTTTTGTCCAGTCACTCTAAATTACCTGCTGGTGAGAATGCCTTTAAGTGTTATCCTAACAACCATAATAAATAATTGTCCAGGCTTTTCTGCTTCACTGTAAAGCACATTTTAAGTTTAGGGCACTTATTATTTTTTCACTTTTCTTTTGCCAGACAGGTTTCATTTAGTTCTCTAGTCTTTCTTGCAGTGGCTAGCAAATATCTTCCCACATGGTGCTTTTACCAGGATGTCAAAATTTCTTCTTATTCTGTCAGTAAGTTTGGGATTCCTGCAAGGAAGTGAGTAACTGTTGTTACAGAAATGAAATGTGGAAATGAGCTAGAGAGAAAGTCTAGGATCCCAGAGAGAAGTATGGGAGAGGAACACCTTCCATAGCTTTATCCATGTAAGAAGTCCTTGTATAAATTTGATATACTAACTCCCATCAAAGTTTCTTTCAGAAGTGAGGCAGTGTTAAGGTGAGGTGGGACACTGGCTGCTGCAGCTGGGTGAGGGGTCTGTTCATGTGCCATAGGTTCTCAAGCAGTTTAAACTGTGTCTTTTTAAGCAGTTCGGCCTGAAATCAGAACTCTTGCAGTTTTTGGTAAATGAAGACAAGTTAAAGCATACCAAATATCATATTTAAATATTCTCTCAAAGCATTTGTGATACTTTTAAAAGTACAAAACTCAAAGTGATTGTGGTGCCATTCTTGGAGTCTAGTTGGAGTATTCCCCCGGGATCCAGAGTGCATAACTCCTCCTTCCTGTTTAGCAGCAAAGATTCAATCCAATATTATCATTTTTTAAGCATATTGGAACTATGTGGTGTTAGAGGGGCTGCTATTTTCATCTGTTTTGTTGAAGCTTGACCTATTCATGTAAAATACCTTTGTTTGATCTGAACCACAGGGTGGGTCTGTATGAATGACACTCCCCTTTGGCTATAAGATGCTGTCTCAAATTTTACTTGGCCTGCTTTTAATTTATGTTTTAGTGAAAATTTTGGTAATAGTTGGTACCCTTAGGTGATAAAAGTTAATTCAGCATGAATCTCTTCTTCTGTCACTGTCTTAGCTGCTATGCTGGTTTCCCCAAGAGATTTAACGTTTACACTGACTCATCATAACAAAACAGATCTGTTCCCAAAATCCAACAGTTTTATCAACTTATTCTTACAATTTTTAACTTGTTTTTATTCAATTTAATATTTATCTTGCAGATCTAAGTATTTCCTATTTTTGATTGGGTTTGGGCTGTTTTGCTGCTGCTTAGCTTTGTGCCAAAATCTCAAGTTAAATGAATTATATTCAGTCAAGCCACCTGCTGGTGGAAGTAGCTGTGATAGTTTTCCTTTTTTTGCCTCCAGGAAACTTTTTAAAATATTTTCATATTTTCAGTAGGTGACTGGGTTTAGTGACAAATATTTACATGTGTATTTTCTATGATAAATATTTTTTAGTAAGAGATGAGCACAAAAATAAACTGCTATAAGAACATATTGTAGTAGTTGTTGTGTTTGAAGTCTTTTTAGGAAGATTTGATTGTATTTTGTCTGACATATCCTTTCCTTCAGACTTGGATTTTACACAACTTGATTGTTACCCATTTGAAATTATGCTTATTGAAACATTTTTAGGCTGTAAAGCTCACAAACACTCACAGTTTGAACAACATTGCCAAGACATACCAAATGTTAGCTCTAAATTCCTGTCATTTTGTCAGTCTCGGTGTTTTTGGCCCCAACACAAGCCACTAACTCAAGTCAGCTCCAACCCAATCCTGGAATTATGTGTTTAGAAGGAAAGCCATACTTGGATGCAATGGGTGTAATTTAAGTTCACGAAAGAAAAGCATATATTTTATATAGTTTCTTGTATGGCCATGTGAACAAGAGTTGTACCACAGAGTGGTGGGGAGGGGAAAGAAAAATGGCACATTTCTATACGGCTACGAATCTATGGTTAAACCTCTCTGTCCTTCTAGTACAGCTAAGTAATGCTAAAGAAAAGGGGAAGATTTAAAAAAGGGTGTCTTAGACAATTCTTGTCATGGAAAATGTTGAATTTACTTGATAAAGAGTTCTTATTTGTGTTCCACTTGTAAAATAGAATGTGGGTTTGCCTTTTTTTCTGGTTTTAAGAGTTGATTTTCAACCCTTTTTGAAGGTAAAATATCTTTTTTCCTTTTTTTTTTTTTTTTTTTTTTTTTTTTTTTTTGTTGTTGTTGTTGTTGTTTTTTTGGGTTTTTTATTTATCCTAAAATTTGTGTGGTCAGTGATCCCCCAGAAGACGAACAGGATCTTGAATGTGAATATATCAGGTTTGCTCTGGTCAGTTTGAAAGAGGTGTTCCAGAAGCAAAGAAATATCATTGAACAAGACATTGATGGTAAGTTTTACAGATCAGTTTATTGTAAACTTCTGTAGCTTAAAAATTATTTGTTGAATTTCTCCTTTTCTCTGCAAGGGTTACTGTGAAAGTAATTGTTTGACATTTTGTCAATAAGAAATTCTTTAATATTAATTAATGGTTTCCACATTTTTTTGCAAAAGTCTACAAAAACTGTGTGCTACTGTTATTCCTTAAAATATGTTTAAAAACCAAAGCCAAAGAGCATTCCCAGCTCATAGTATTTCATTCATAAGACCTAAGAACTTTCCAGACATGTCCACTTGCTATAATTCTCTATTTTGTACATCATGCTTCATTGTAATAGGACTATATATATTTTTATTAAAATTTATGTCAGTAATTCTGTATTGTTAAAGTCTATATCTTATTTAGAGCTGTAACTCCCAGAGTACCTCCAGCTTGTGTCCTCCATATGAAACCTGTTTCCCAGACAGTATGAAATAGTGGTGGTTTTGGTAAGGTGTCAGTTTAGAGTGAACACCCTTCTGAAAGGGACGGTGACCAAACCTTCACTGTGACTCATTAAAGCAAGGTGAGGAGAGCAGGAGGTGTGGAATCTTCCGTTTCCTGGGCCGTAGGATCATTTTTATAACACTGGTAAGAAGACTCGAGAAGGCTACTTGGTCCTTTCATAGACAGTGAAGGAAAATATTGTCCTTGCTTAGGGTTTCTGGTTCCCTGTGTTTGCAGGGACGTGGTTACCAGTGTGTGTTTTTCTCCTACCTCTTTGTCTCAACTCTCTTTCCCCACTGTGGTAAAGCTCAGTGAAGACAGTAAATCTGTTACAAGCAGTCCCTCTCCTCTGCCAGTGCAGGAACCAGCCTGATGACTGAATGCAGAGCACACAAGGTACCCTTTGCAATAGCCAGAATTCCAGTCAGCCCCAGTGGAATGCCAGGCTAATGTCACTTTGCTACTTCTACTGCTGTGTCCAATTCCCATACCTTGAGCAACGGGGACCTGAGTAGTGAGGGAAAGAAATAGGCTTTCTTATCCATTCCCATTATCATGCATGATTTGCATCCATGCTGTAGCTAAAATACTAAAAGTATGCATCAAAGTTCCAGGAACACGATAAGGAAAATGCAAAGAATCAAATCTCCATACCCTGGAAAAACAGCATACAGATTTGATGCACTTCTTACTGTGGCTGAACCACTTAAGCTTTTCTCCACCAATACTTTTTCTCCAGGTAGTTGTACAAAAGCACATCTCCTCCAAAGGTATTTTGTAGTCTCTCACTGCAAGATTGTTTTTGTTCTGTACTTTATGGCCATAATTCCCACTGTCATAATTCCTGTTTGATAAGATTGATTAGTGATATAAATACAATTTTTTACCCTTGAAAGTCACCTTTCACAAAACTCTTAAAAGTCCTAATCATCATCTGAGAGAATTATTATTACAGGAAGGACTGTTTTTTGTTACTATTGTTCTGTTAAAAGTTAATCATTAGTATGTGATGACAACTACTTCAGTATTGTGAGGAGCATTTCTTCCCCTGATCGTAACACACTTGAACTAATTTTTACTTTGTGTGAATTATATCCATGAAAGTAATAATAATAGCTAGAAATACTTTTTTATTCTTTTTCCTATGCACACTTCTGCCCTTCCCTGCAGGTGCCAGGGAAGATTCTGTTGCATCCAGGATGTATAACATTGTATATTTTCTGAAAATTTAGAACTTTCAGAGAACTGAAATGAATTTTATGTTAACATATGTCAGATCATGACAAAAGAACATGTCTGTATATTTTCTTGGACCAAGTCGTTGTAAAAGGATCTGCTCTTAAGATCCGGATGCAGACTTCATTTAAATGTAATGGCACAATAAATAGAATTCCTAAGTTATTGTGTACACATCCTCTCAGGTGGATCTTGGTTTGAGGAAAAAAGAATTTCCCTAGGCACAGGGAAATTGGTGGGACACTACCACATGAAGTACATAAATGTCCTTCGTTCTTTCTGAGACTCCAAGCACAGTCTTTTTCATATCTTGTTCCTTTCATTGCTGACTGTGTGAAAGTGGCCTCCATGAAATTTGAAGCAATTAAGTGAATGACTTAGCAAGAGAATGAGTGAAAAACACTATAGTCAACATATCTACCAATGTGCCTCAGAGATAGTATGACAATATGAAAACTGAGAAAATAGAATTAGTGTTCTGATATCAGTAATTATAGTTATCCTGTTCTTATAAGTAAAAACAATACTGTCCCCTAAAGTCTGCTCTTGAAGTTGACAGTTCACTGAGTGATCTGTTCAAAGTTATACAAAACGGTTTGGATCTCTAAGATTAGCATCCAATCTGTCCTTTAATAACTCTTTCAACAGAGTAAATAATGGAAGGTTTATCCCACGTTTTTTCTTCTCTAAACCTCTTCTGGGCTGTCCCAGCAGCCTAGAAGTTGAAACATGCAGTATCATTGCATGTCCCAGAGTACTTAACCCAGTTTATATACTAAATGCATAACCTTGCCATTTGTCAGCTGTATAATTTGCTTTGAAAAAATATGCTGTCAAGATTATTTGTTTTTATTCAAATTCCTTCTAGAGTCATGTTAGGCAGCCTCATTGCTTTTTATGCAGGACTGGGAAAAAGCCTCATTTTTGACTTAGCAGCATGTTTTAATCACAGCAGCAGAGATTCTGGCCCTCTGGGCTTACTTAGATATTGTAAAAGAGTGCAGTTTCAAATCATGTCAGCTAATTTCTGTAAAATAGAAATTTAAAATACTACTTTAAAACCCACATACACAAAGATGAAGGTAGTCAAATAGTTTAGTCTAGAGGAATTATCTTCTTTGCTTATACCTCACTATTTTGCAACACATAGAAGCTTGCAAGTTAAATAATTTTGCATTGCATCAGCTGGAAAAAACAATTACTGTTTAAATACTAGTAAGTGTCCAGGCTGATTTGGACCTGTCCTACACAGTGTAGAAAATGCATTAATAGGTATGTTTTTGCTTAAAACTGTTTATAAATATGCATATATGTTTTCAATGGAGTTTGAATTTACATATTGCCACATCTCATGTTTACATATTGAGAAAAATTATTAATTTGTATAGGCAATGATTATACCAATAGTTTTCTTTATTTCAAAGGCAATTCGAACACTAACACTTTAATTGATGTACATTCTAGTTCTTAGAGTGCTCAGTTTGCAGTAGGCTAAATACCTGAACTGGAAGATTCCTTTATTCTTTATTTATTTCTCCTCTGCGTGTGCCGGGTGCCTTTTAATCTGTCCAAACGCTACGGAAAATTACCGGAACAAAAGCAAACCCTCAAATGAAACTGCTAATGCTGTTTTGTGAGGCTCCCTTTCTAGTTTTTGATTCATGAGATGATGGTGCAGTAACTGGGGAGCTCAAAGTAGCCGTGGAGGCCCCTCCACGCGCCGCGTTCAGTCTGTGAGGAGCGCGAAGACGACTCCGAGGCATGAAAGGAAGTTTGCCTACAGAAGTTCCTTCTCCCAGTGTAAATACACGCTTGATAGCGCATCAAAGATGAGATCTTTGTAATTCTTACAGTATATTTAATGTATAATTCATATGGAAGGGACGCTTGATTTGTAGTTGTAAAGTTTTGTATACTTTTCAGTCTGTTTGTTTTTATATTTCCCCCCTAAGGCTAAGAATCTCTCCACAATGGACAACGTCTTGTAAATAATTAATACCTACATGATTGAATGATGTGCTTTATTTGCATTTTCAAGATTTTTTCCTACATAAAACAGTAATAAAAATGCAAGTCAAAATTTTAATTTTTAATAAAAAAACCATAAGCCTTAGAAAACTGATTAAAAATACTTTTATGTTATCCCTAATCACCCCGCTAAATGGAATGCCTGTGATTAGCCTCATTAAGAATTTTATACTGTGAAGATTTTATTAAAAGCAATATATGAAAATTACTTGGATTAATGTGTTAATCTGCCTCTTTAAAATGCTAATATCCATTTTATGCACATTAAATCTCAGTATGTGTTTTCTTTGATGCATGCAGTTCCTATCAATTAAATATAAAAAATTAGGCTAGTTGCAGGACTTATTAAATTACTGCAACCTTTTTTAAATAACTTTTACCCTTCTACTAACATTATAATCAGCTGTTTATGGTTACCATAATTTGAAGTAGGGGGAGGGCAGGCACAATCATTTTCTGTACAGTAGAAGATTTACTTTTAGCCAACATCTGTCAAAGCACAAAAAGAAGCCAATGTGTGAGATTTTGCTTCACCTACTTTGGACTGTAGGGATGGGCAACTGTGTTTTCATTTGGGTTTTGTCACTTTTAGAACTTACATCAAACATATACAATAAATCGTTGGATCTGAATAACCAGTGTCTAGCATGGAAAGTTAATTTTACAGCTTTTAACCAATCTCAGTGAAGGATTTAATTGATATTTTTAATGGAGCTGTGAATCAATGCTGCAAAAAGGATTGTCTCTCGAGAACGAGGATATAATACATTTCATTTTTTAATTTACTTTTTTATTTGTCATTTTCTTCAAAGGATTTTATAGACTGTGGATTTCCACTGTTTGCAAACAGGCTATGTTTCTTCATAAGCATATGTAAAGTATTCAGAGAGATAAGTAATTTATTAAAATCTACCTAATTTGCCGTGATATATTAAATCTCTGCTTCAGTGATCACAGACCATTTCATTTAGAGAATTAGGCATTCCCTCTTTGTGTGATTAAAGCTCTGGAAAATGAGTTCTTTGCTCCTATTTGTGAACATTCAAAGCCTGCTAATGGCAAGAAGATGGAATAGATTATGAGACAATTCATTACAGTTCAACAGAAAAAAAACCCCTGCTATAATGCAGAAATGCAAGTATGAATATCTGCATATAGTTTGAACCATCTGTGCTCTAATGGCTTCAGTAATGGCTCTTCGTCTTCAGTAGGCTTTGAAATGACATCCATACAATATTAATTTGTTGATGTACATTATGAGGCCAATGGAATGAATATATTCTGACCACAGAAATCTCTGAATTCCAACATGATCCGCTGGTTGACTCCATTTTAGGACCTACCATCT